CCTCCATATCTATTGTAGGAAAAAAATAGTAAATCATCGTGCTCCGTCTAAACCCGTATACGGAATTTTTGGTTGAATGTTCCTTTTTGTTAGCAGCCGAAAACAACTGTTAACCGGATATTTAGACGAATCCAACTACAAGGCCTGACCCACATTTCTCATCCATTAGTGTGTATCGCGTAAACTTTATTTGAGTCGGGTGACATCATCATCGTCTTGTCTTCATTTGGTTTCGTGCCAACAGTTGACCGACTGGCGATAAAAGATATTTTGAGATAAACCTCGAAGAAATCCTCTTACGCATTTTGCATATTTTGCGATTCACTACTTTTCAATACACTTTAATCGCGATTTCCTTAATAAACAACGGCCTCGAGAAGTTTTCGCAAAATCGCACGAAAACACGGAATACTTCTTCTTTTTTACGGGCAAGTCTACTTTCGACAGTCGCCCATCCTAAAAGTCGCGTCATGCGTATTAACAAAGGTCCTTAATGTTTTAGGTTAAATAACCACAGAATACTAAGGGTTAAGGATTGCCAACTGAGCATGAAAACTTGGGAACACGGAGAATAAATAAAACACGGAAAATGATATTACATAAAACACAAATAAAACTGAAAAGACGGCCGTAACGTTCTATATAACAATGCATCTAACTCCCAATCAAAATAAAACATAACAACTTAACAATTTTGAACACTTATACGTTAATGTACAACACTCTGTAAATTTGCAAGAATTCGTATGTTCTTAAAATGTTTCCGCAATAGGGATTTCCACTATTTGTAGGTTTATGATTATGAAGCAAAATAAAAGCCATCACTATGAAATGCATAATCCAGAAGTTCGTATCGATGCTTCTAAAATCACGCAACTAGCACTGAGTATAGAACATTATGGTTAGCGAATTCTAACCGAAATCAACCTACCTGTTTTGTAGACGTCTTTAATTTCTCACAGCATAATCCCTATAAATGCTCCTAAGTAAATTGATATTCTAAAATCTACATCTAAAATATTCCAATGGGGAAGAAACTATAAAAAAATATTAACAGTCACAGTTATTATTATCATTCTTCACTTTTAGTGGGAGAGTCAACCCTGGCCGCTCGCCCATAAAGGGAGTCACAGTTAAATGAACAGTATTTTCAGATGTCATTTTAAGTAGGAAGGCGATTTTTTACTGTGGCCCGGACAACTACTGTTTCGCGTCATATTTACGAATGCCCTAAGCAAGCATAAAGACGACTTTTTTACCGTTCCTATTCCATTAATGTCAAAACTGTCTGTCACGGACCATACATCGCACTACCATAGTTAAAATGATTTAAAAACGAGTCGGCCTTAGTGGCATTTTATTTATAAATAATAATAAAATGAATTATGTATAAATAATGATTTAGTGCGTAATACAGACGAAACTCGTCATATAAATAGCTTTCATGGGGTAGTGTTACGAAATGCCATTAACCTATATCGGTACAACATTTTAAAATTTATATAAAACTTGCGTACGTGTGGTGTGTGGAACCGGCTGGGCGTGACGTAATAGGAAAAAAATTCACGGCCAGTTTCATACGTATTTGTGGAAATGAGATCACGAAGTGATTCATAATAAAAACGAAGAAGAAGTCGGCTTTTCGCTTAACTTAATCACACGAAGCGCTGCAAGATACTGACTCGAATGTGTACTTATATTTAATCGCATTTCCGAAATTAGTCACGTTACAAAGAAAAGTTGGCCGACGCAACGGAGATTCATTGTCACGTGGTACTCGTACGTGGCCAGACGTGTCGGATTATGAATATTTTAAAGCTTAATTAATAAATAAAGCTTATTCGCAGGAATCTAATATAGAATCACTAGAAAACGAAAGCACGCAAACTCTGTATCAGAACAGACTAGAATTAAAAATGGAAGAAAACAAAATAAAACATAACGATGATGTAGAACAATGCTGGAAAAAATAACAAACAACGTACTGACAGCTTCAAGAGAAGCACTTGGAACAAGAAAGATAAATGTAAGTAACAAAAAAGTCAACAAACCCAGGCTCGCAGAAGAGGTAAAAGTCATATGCAAAGAAAAAAGAGACGCATAATTAAAATATAGAAGCAGCGAAACACCAGAAGAACACGCAAACTACATAGCAACAAGAAACAGGGTGAATGCAAGGTTAAAAACCATCAAAGAGGAAGTCAGAAAACAGTGTGGAATCTATTACGATCAACTAAAAGACTATACAACTCAAAAGAAAATACTGCTCAAGACAAAACAGAAACAAATTGGATAATAACAGAAAACCACGTGGAAAACGCAATACGAGCACTGAAAAAACGAAAAGCACCAGGAGAAAACACGATCACAAACGAACAAATTAAATATGGAGGACCAAAACTAATAAAGGAAATAACAAAATTTTTCAATAAAATAATCAAAGAAGAAAAATATGGTCTGTTCATAGATATAAGAAAGTGACCTATTGCTTTTGAATGAGATTATCCAAGGATGGTCACATTAACATACAATGCAACCAGATTATTACCTAAAGTTTCGGAATTTAAATTCAGGTAAAATTGTGGTCCGTAATAGAAAATAATTTTATATCTACCTTTGGTTTGGTGTACTACTTACTTTAAGTTTATTAGTAATCATTGTTATTTCGTGTGCAAAATAGTGCGAGTCTAGTGTATCTCAGGAGATGCTCCCGCCCAAATGTAGAAAACACTATTCTATTGAGACTAAGGAAATTATAAACAATGATTGACTCTCATTGAACGCGGTGCCAGCAAGCAAGCGTATTTGAAAGAAACGGCCACATTGACACATGGGTTTTAGATATAAAAAAATTGACAAAAGGCAAGTTTTAATGGAATCTTTTAGAATTCGGAAATGGCGACTGGAATATCTAGAAAAAATTAGGATATACAGAGAACAGCAAAGGCCAATTATTTACTTGGATGAAACCTGGTTCGACACTTATGATACCCCGGAAAAGGGTTGCGTTGACTCAAGTGATAAGTGTAAAACAATGGCGCCATCAAAAAGAAGTAAAAAAAATAACTATTTTGGACTTTCTCTCGAAAAATATTAAAGATTCTTCTCTGGATTACCATGAAGACACCACCGCTGATTTATTTGAAAGTTGGTTTAAAACCAAACTAGTTCCAAACATTCCTCCTAATAGCATCATTGTAATGGACAATGCAAGTTATCACAGTAGATGACTAAAACTCCTTCCTCATGTAACACAAAAGCAACAATCCAAAACTACATGTATAATAACAACATTTATTTTCACAAAGATTATACCAAAAAGCAATTAATTGAGGTTCTACAAAGCTTGAATCTACAAAAGGAATACGTCTGTGGTCATGCAAAAAATCTAGGGCATACAGTTTTAAGGCTTCCACCTTACCACTGTACATTTAATCCCATTGAACATGTTTGGTTGAACTGAACTGAACTGAACTGAAATCTACCATTCGTCGAAACAATGTTTTCCCCGTGTTAACTCCAATGTCCTCAAACTTATAGAAACCGAAGCTTTTAACATCCCTCCACAAGGTTGGGCAAATTCTGTTAAACATATATAAAAAACAGAAGAATCGTATATCTATTTTGTAAATAATATAGAACAAATATGATTAGAACAGGCGATGATAGCGATAGTGATACTGATATATTAGGCAATAAAAATAATTTGTAATTTTATTTTAGATTTAAACATAAATACATACATAAATAAATAAATATTGTTTAGTATCTTTCCTAGCAAAACCACAAGTAATTAAATTCTAAGCAAAGTACGGACCTGTTCGGTCATATTTCATTCTTACAGCTTGCCCGGGTCTTTCCTTAATTCGTATCAGTTAGTCACTTACTTTTATCCATGAACAGACTTTTATATTTCGGGATTTGTCATAAAAAAACTATATGCTACCAACAAATAAGACAAAATATTCACCCTGATGATCAATACACTTTTGCATTCGATAAAACCAATCATCAAAGCACTTTTCCCACATCGAATCGGGCAACTCCAAAACATGCTTTTTAAACGCAACAGTCGCTTCTTCTGGTGTCAAAAATCGTTGCCCACGTAATTTATTCTTAATGTATGGGAATAAAAAGAAGTCCTTAGGTGCTAAATTAGGACTATGTGGTGGACGGCTCATCGAATCGACGTTTTTAATGCTCAAAAAGTTCTTTGTTTGCACTGATCAGTGATAGCTAGCATTGTCGTAGAATTGACTGTTTTACATTTTACCAAAGAAACAATTGCAACGTTGCCAGTTGTCCTGAAAAAACAGACTACCATTTGTTTCGAGGTGCTTCTTCGCGCACGAACAACTTTTGTGCGTTTTGTCTCATTCTGAAAGACCTACACTAACTACATCTGTCACGATATCATAGACGTATAGCCTTTTTTTCATATGATGTCAAATTGTGTGGAATGTTCATGCAAAATTGAATGTATGCTGGTCCCACTAATGGCCAAAGATACCTCAATCTCATGGTAAGTCGCATGGCGATCCTGCAAAATCAGTTTCGGCACTGCATCAATGTTTTCTTGGACAACCACCGATTTTGGGCCACCTTCACGAAATTCGGTGATTTAGATGGTGCTTTAACTTCAACAGCTGAATTGGTTTCATCGATCCATGGTTGTTGAGTTAGTCCACGTCTAAATTGTTGACCTTTCGTAGGGTGGAGAGGAATCGAGATTTGACAGATAACCTCTCACATTTCCATAACTTGACAAATCTTCCCGAGTTTTGAAATAAAATAACCTAAAAAATAGTACTCACCATTTAAAGTATAAGAATTTTGCAGACCACGTGACGCACAAAGGTTTGTTTAGACTAATAGCTTAGCGTCGTTCGCCACTAGATGTCTCCCAGACATGGTTTACATATATTTTTTTTGATGCGCCGCTCATTTTTAAACTTCAAACACACGCGACATATCCACCCATCATTTTTCTTTTCTTCCAGAGACGAACTGATGAAATGTTTGACAGCTTCGGATCGCAGCGATGACAGGAACGACGACTTGACTTGATCGTTACGTAATGGACAAAATGAAGCAATACGCCCAATACAACCCCAACCTCCTCACCCTAAAATGTGTCCTATTTTTGTTCTTCGGGGGTGGGTATCGCCGGAAGATGTTTTTTTTTAGTGAAATCAAACCTCGCGGATCGTTTCAGCGTTGGGGGCCCTTCTGCCGTTCGTGCCTCTCCAAATGACCGATCTCGGACTATCGAGAGACGAAGCCATCATCGTCTCGTCGGTGTCGCCGATTATAGCCCTTTTGGGACCTCTGGTGGCGGCTCCCCTGGCCGATCGATTGGCCGGAGGTTTTGGAGGTTCACCGAGGAGTAAAACTGGCCGCTACCTCACCGTCATGATTTCGACATGTTGCCTCTTGTCGACGATATTTTACTGGCTTTTAATTACCATACCACCCATCGTAAGTGTCATATTTCAATCGCTTCTAGCAAATTTTAAAAAACAAGCTTAGGTGTCGTCCAAATGTCTTACAGTTTATGGTCCATTACAAATACCGTCTGTAGTTCTTACATTTTATTGTCTATTACAAATATCATTTTGCACTTCAGTCGCTCTTAGCAAATGTAAGTTAGACAATAAATTCAGATGTCGTCTGTAGTTATTACAGTTTATTGTCTGTTTCAAATGTCATTTCGATTTTAATTACCGTTCCGCCTATCGTAAGTGTCATATTTCAATCGCTTCTAGCAAATTTTAAAAAACAAGCTTAGGTGTCGTCTGAATGTCTTACAGTTTATGGTCCATTACAAATACCGTCTGTAGTTCTTACATTTTATTCCGCCTGTTGTAAGGGAAATTTTAGGTAACAAGCTTAGGTGTCTTACAGTTTATCGTCTACTTCAAATATCACGGTATACCTTGGTCGTTTCTAGCAAATGTAAATTAAGTAAGAAGTTTAGATGTCGTCCGGAGTTCTTACAGTTGATTGTCTATTACAAACCTGATTTTATATTTCAGTCGCTTATATATTATATAATTATAATAATAATAATTATATATTAATAAAAATAATAAAACTTCTGAAATAAAAACAGTGTGGCGAATACAAAGGCGCGATTCCCGTTCTTTTTATATTTGCGTATGGTGTGTCTCGAAGTATATTCGCCTGATTTTTGACATTTTAAAGTTTTTTAAAAATATAAACACATAAAAAGCACTAGATATATATAAATTAAGTCCCTTTTTTCATTTTCCTTCCCTTTTATTTACACCGTATTTCATCTGCTTCTAGGTCTACCTAATTGAAGCGTTTTTTTTTTGGAAATTCATTCCGCTAATCTCTTTCTCAGTAGTAAACTTTCCTATCATGGTCTAAGAGCAAGAAATGTTTTCTATTTTTCCCATAAGCTTTTTCTCCATTGTCCTAATTTCTGCCGCATAGTAACATTTACAATAGCACTTGCTGACGCTTCGCCATGGTTAAACTGGTTCGCGCCTGCTTTTATGTTGTTTGAGGGGGACGGAGCTAAACAACGTCTCGGATAACTGAATTATATCTGTCCCATATTAAACAAGAAATTTATAACGTATAATTAAAAATCTATTGTAAGCGTCGGAATATAGTCATATTTTGTATTTGATAAAGGCACGGTGTTATAAACTATGAAAATTTTAAGGCCCTTTCAGTTTCTCGTAACTTTATATTTCTTAGGAACTTTTGATATGTAGTCAGGAATGTTTTAAATGTAAGTGTAGGTGGGAATTCTTAATTTTTAATTTACTTTTAAAATTTTTACGTCTTGGTTAGATGCTAGAGATTTTAGAGCTATGCATTCAGGCTTAGGTGGTTTGTATTAACGACAACCGAACAATCGGGTTTTTTACCAATAAGTTAATCAGTCATCCGAGACAGTGTTAATGCCCGCTCCATTAGATCCGTCCCCCCTCAGACCGTATATAAGCAGGTACTGAGTAGAACGCGACCCAATTGCAGTCAAGCTCTGAAGAAGCCAACAGGATGATTGGCGAAACGTCAGCAAGTTCGGAGATTTGATACCCACTTGTTGCTAATATAGGTTCGGAGTCCTCCGAGCGTTTCGTTCATGTGCCACGAGAATGGAGGATTTATCCTGCAGGACCGTTGCGGCGCCGAAAGGACCTGCTACGATTGGGTGCAAGGGGTGCGTTAAACGCAATTACACGATGTTTACCTTCCAGCTAAACGCAGTTTTTTGTGCAGCAACGCGGCGCGGTGATGGTCAAAAATTGTATATTCGACTGCAACGCCACGTCCTCTTACAGGGGACAAGTGTCCACTCCGCCGCCGATAGAGGACACCAGTTCCGCAGGGGAGTACAACGATTACGTCTACGATATTGTTAGTGGAGGACTGAACGAACCCGAAATAGTAAGCCATTTCGTAAATAGACCGTGATTAAGTTATTTATCTTCCAATTCTCATTAGTTGATATAATAGAGTTCTATTTGGTATATACGAAATACACAACAATTACTCAATAATGATTTTTATTATTATTTTCTTAAAATTAATAAATACTTTTTATATACCTAAAAATATTAAAAAAAAAACTACTTTCAATAGTAATATATAGATGGATATATGACCGTAATTAAGTTATTTATCTTCCAATTCTCATTAGTTGATATAATAGAGTTCTATTTGGTATATACGAAATACACAACAATTACTCAATAATGATTTTTATTATTATTTTCTTAAAATTAATAAATACTTTTTATATACCTAAAAATATTAAAAAAAAAACTACTTTCAATAGTAATATATAGATGGATATATGACCGTAATTAAGTTATTTATCTTCCAATTCTCATTAGTTGATATAATAGAGTTCTATTTGGTATATACGAAATACACAACAATTACTCAATAATGATTTTTATTATTATTTTCTTAAAATTAATAAATACTTTTTATATACCTAAAAATATTTAAAAAAAAAAACTACTTTCAATAGTAATATATAGATGGATATATGACCGTAATTAAGTTATTTATCTTCCAATTCTCATTAGTTGATATAATAGAGTTCTATTTGGTATATACGAAATACACAACAATTACTCAATAATGATTTTTATAATTATTTTCTTAAAATTAATAAATACTTTTTATATACCTAAAAATATTAAAAAAAAAACTACTTTCAATAGTAATATATAGATGGATATATGAGGATACGAATTATACAGAATTATTAATATGCAAATCTTAAGTTTTGGGCTTAAAAATTTTTAAATTTAAGCAAATGGATAGGGTATAGGGGGCTCGAATTTTTTAAATATTAAACAAAAATTTAGTAGGAGTTTTTGACCCCTCCCCCTTGAAAAAATAAATTAAATAAAATAAAAAAATTGGCAAAGAAGCGTGTGGTGGTTTAGCAGGGAGTGTAAAAAGACAAGCTTATCGTGCTACTTTCCTTTTTTCAGTAGGCCCAAAGTTCTTTAAAAAAAAATACCAACCACGATTCGAACGCTTAACTACAATAAAAATACTCGCCAATTTCATATAAATAATAATAACATAAATAATAATGAAATTTGTTTTATAATAATAGTTGGTATTATTATTTTAAATTATCACTGATAAACCCTTCAATGCAGTTCGAGACGCTCGGCAGCGCGGCGCTTCCGCAGCGCCCGGCGCGCTGTCATAAATTTCATTTTGTTTAAACTAATGACGAACAGTGAAATTTTCTTCCGAAACCTTAAACTTAACCGTGTAAAACATGTGACCGATTTTGTTTTACCAGGAAATCAGTTAAATTTTCATTTGTTAACTTAAAAGTTAGTTAACAATACGAAAATTTCATATATTTATCTCTTACGATTGATTTTTAATCCATTTGTTATTTAAAAGTGCTTAAAATTTTCATTATAAAAAAAATGTTAAAATCAAAATTTTAAAAAATCGTTTTCCATCATAAGTACTTATAAAAAACATATATAGATTAATTTTTTATGATCAAGTGGTAGATGGGGGTCCACTTGACGTGATCTTACTCAAATTTAAATGCATTATATTTATATTCTTTCAAAACTGAGTGGATCATCTCCGAGAAATACCTGTCTCTTCTTATAAATCTAGTAATAGAGGAAACTGGATGTGCTTCATAGAATCCTAAGATGTTTGCCTTATTTTCTTCATTTAAAACATTATGATTATGTTATTATATTAATAGCTCCACCCCCCCCCCCCCTGCAACAATATAAAAGCAGGTACAGAGTAAAATGCGAGCCAATTTCAGTCAAGCTCCGAAGATTGGGCGAAACGTTAGCTATTTCGAGTCAACAAACAATGACGCCGGAAGAATCCAGAAGAAGTTTCTTTGAAAAAACAAAACCTTCATTTTGTTTTTCCGTTTACCTCGATATCTTGAAAAACGAAAAGGTTACAGCCAATTAAAAATATCTCTTGTAGCCGGGCTCGGCCAACACGGGCGACAATATCTCCGGCATGCTGCAGCCTTACCCCCACATGTGCTACGCGAACGCCAGCGGCGGCACCGTGTGCGAAGTGTACACGGAAGATTCCCTCCCGATCAGGTTTACCCTGGGGCTCCGCCCCTCCGTCGATCACTTATTTAACGACTACGACGCGGAGAATACCACCGAATTGCGAGACAGCTTGGACAACAACACCGACGACACTTGCAAATACCCATTCGGTACGCTATCTCGTATTCGCGGTCGTCACTATTGATAACCTACGATCTTAAACCGCGCAGACGATCAGTTCGGCTGCAGAATACCTGCGAGCGTGGCCGACGAGTTAAAGAAGGGCAACGAAGACTGCCGTCCTATGGTGGTGTGCGAGATACACGACCCTTACAACAACACCGACTCGCTCCTGAGACGATCGCAATGCGGATTCGACAATATCGGTTTCTGGCTGTACCTGACGTTCAAATCGTTGGGCGATCTGTTCGTGGCGGCTGCGGTCGCCCTTCTGGGCACCGCCGTCGTCATAGCGACGAGAGAGACATCTACCGGTCGAGGAGATATCGGCAAGCAGTTCGCCGTTGGTGCGCTGGGTTTGGGTATATTCGCGCCCATAGTCGGGGGCGTTTTCGGCGGACGCTTCTTCGAAGCCATCGTATTCTTCACGGTTCTCCTGGTGCTGGCGGTGCTGATACTGTTAGTCGACAGACGTATGCCCCTGAGCCCACCCGAATGGTGGTGGCACACCAGGTGCGGACTGCTCGCCCTGCCGATGTCTTCCGTCAGGAAATACGGCCCGGAAACGGCCGCATTGGCGGTCGTTTTGCTGCTGCTAGGGGTATTTTGGAACGCCATTGACTCGTTTTTACCGTGGTAAGTGGAACTCCCGGTATATGGGTCTCGGAGCGTATCGTTTTGGCTTTTGACGAGTCGCTATGGTCGGACAAAGCATCAGGGATGATCCTTTTTGGGGTGTCTTCATGATCAACTATTTATCAACCATTATGCTGCAAGTGTCCCCCACTGTTCTATGTACTCCTGTACTGGCTTGTATTCAGTTCAGCTTCCTGATTACCTTTCTCTTAAAGTGTTGGAGACTACTTACCCGTTCAACTAGCTCTCCATTCAAAGTAACGTGCGTGTTCCTATTTTCTTCCATTACTCCATGACTTTAACCCTTATCCCTTCTTTTTTTAATCCTGTTTATTATTTTACTATTTCCTTTCAAATCTTTGCAGGTCCCCTCAGGCATCCCCCACTGTTCTATGTGTTCCTGTCCTGGCTTCACATTTCATTCTGCTCTAATTTGATCATTTCTTGTTGCTTCCTTGACTCCTCTCAGATATTTTATTTCAGAGGCACCCACTTTAGGACAATACTCAATACAATGCCCGTACATCTCCTTTTGAACTTGTTTTGCAATTTTAATTATTTGAATAACAGAGAGCTCAAGCTTCTACCTTGTCTAACTCTTATCCCTTTTTTTTCTAAATCCTGTTTATTGTTTCCTTGCAACCATATCGGAAAATGCTAAATATGCGGTATTTCGTCTCTCTATTATGGGTACCAATGATGTCCTAGCATGGCCTTTGTTTGAGTCCAACAACTCATAGATAGTGATAGGACTAATAAATATATTGATATTATTTTAGCTCCCTTTCCCAAATAGAAACGATCTGGTGCGATAAAGGGATTATATTTTGATTGTCGCATATTGTACTTTTTACCATTTTTCACCATTTTGAACTAACCAACAAAAGCCGAGACGATATACTTCGAGACACACCATACCCCATAGCGTGTGATTCGCAGGCACGTGGTAAAGCTCACGAGTGGTGCTATCAACAGCGACAGCGAAGGACCACTAATCGTCGGTCTCACGATTTCCGTGGGTGCTCTTCCGGCTGTGATATTCTTGTTCTTCGCCGAGACTATAGTCGATTACTGCGGACATTCCAATGTACTGATATTCTGCTTCGTCAATTATATATGCCACCACTTGGGTGAGTATTTTAATATCGAAAAATTCCAGTGGGTTCCCGACCGTTTCCAAAGGATTATTATTATGATCATTACCAAGTTAAGCTTTCGTTCAACGATTTGAGAAATTAAATCCACTGACACACTAAATTTAAAGTAACACCCTGCCAAGATAAATATTGAAAATGGGAGTTAAAACGACACTTTCGCAGCTCTGATGAGTATCGATGAGAATGCGAGACTACTGTTCCTCTGCGAAGCGTTGGAGGTATTCACTTTGCACATGATGTACGTCACGGCGGTTCTCTACTTGCGCCACCTGGTGCCCAGGAAACTAACCGCTTGCGGGCAAGCCCTGCCGGTGATCGCACACTTCTGTTTCGGTAAGTGGTCCCACCTATGTAAGTGCAGTGTTACCAGGAATATACCTCTGAATCGTCCTTAAGAGAAAACGTTAAGAATTTTTGGAAGTTCGTTGACAGTAAAAAGGAAAGGAACTTTGAACCATCGGCGCTTTGGCGACGTGACCTGTTCTGCGGGCGAGAAAATTGTCATTTTATTTGCAAACTATTTTTCGAATATGTATGGTGAACTGTGTCTCTGAAGAGGCACTGCCATCGCTCCACTAAGCTAAACTTGCTTACATTTACAGATTTTCTGCTGCATTCATTGGAAGAGGGGTCTCACGTTCATGCCATTTAAACAGACTTTTCAAATGCATTTGATAGAGCAAATTATCAAATCTTAATAAAAAAAATTGCGAAACATTGGAATCCTTTTGGAATGGTTAACATCGTATCAGGTGTTCCGCAAAGATCACACCTGGGACCCCCACTCTTCAATGTCTATGTGAATGTTAGTGCCTCGTGTTTTCATCACGCATTTTCCCCCCCGAAAATTCTATACGAGAGTCAAAAATGCTGATGACTGTGTAAAAATCTAATCCGATTTAGACAAAAATTAATACGGTTCTTTGGAGTGAGGAAGGCAAATTTGAGGTGGACAATATGGACAAATTGCTACTGTCAAATATGGAGGAGGGAACATAATGAACAAATGATCGATTTCACTATAAAGAGATGCCATTGCAATGATCCGAAACACATAAATGTAGTTGAATGGCCCTCCCACTCGGCAGATCTAAACCCCATTGACCATCTTTGAGATGTCTTGTATCAAGTGATCCCTTTAGGATTATTGAATCATAGTGGTGCCAAATTCCTGGGTAGCAGAAAAGAAATTGATAGCCATTATTATTTTAATATTTTGTGTGTGCTTTAAGTCCGTATAATAAATTGTAGGTGGGGAAATCCATAATCTCAAAACTGCATTATCAAAAAATTTACCTTACATTGAAATACAATTTTTCTAAACAAATGGGCTTGTTTTATAATAGTTCATAATTCTCCTGGTGAAATGGCAAGACATACAGCAAAATGCACGATATTTAGTTTTAGATATTATTAGATAGTCATTAGATATTTAGATTCTTCTTTACTTTTATGGCCAACATTACCAGGACCATTAGGCCAGTCTTCTCGGTAAATGGTGTCTTTCCCTAAGTCCTAGGAGGCCGCCTTAATTAAAAAGGAATTAATGAAAAAATATAGATTGATAAAGCAGGCTTTGAGAAATTTACAGACCAGTTTCATCTAGGTTAGGCCAACCAATGTGACTGTTTGGTTCCAATCACAGACCACAAATACACTACAGCCCATAGTTAAGTGGTTTTACCGTTAGCCAGATCCTCTTGCATCATTTATACCCGAAATGCAGTTACCCAACAATACAAAAACGGCCGTTTTTGAAGAGCAACTTATTTCCAGGTCGTTGCATCGGCGCTCTGTTGGGGGCTATAGCTTACTCGGAAGACGCTTCTAATTTCATCTGCGCCCATCAGTGGTTCGCGGTGGCGGCGACAGTAGTGGCCTTCGCATATTTCGTGGTTTACCACTTTTATTTGAAAACAAAATGCGGAGCTCCGGTCCATCTTCCTCCAGATCCGGCCCCAGCCATTATTCAAAGTAAGTAAAGTTTGGATGACTTATACGCTGAGTGTCGCGTCACGCTTACGAAAAACCTACGCCGTCTTATCCGCGTAACTAGGTTCGAATAATAATACAAATTAATTTTCGGTAATGACTAAATTTGTGAAAACGTAAATAATACGCCCGACAAAATACAACGTATCTCGTCTCCTCGAAATCTAATGCACCACTGCTTATTCAAACATATCGAAAACGCCGCCAAACAAACAACCGAACAAATCGGCAGCAAAAAACAAAACCCTTATCAAAATCTAAAAATAGCACCGACTTTCGCACATGTGATCGGGCCGGCTAAGACCGCATGATAGGATAAAAAAACGGCGGATTTCTTTTCGTGCGTCTCCAACACTGAGATTAACCTTGGTGAGTTGTGTTACTATAGTTTAAACTTTTCCTCGTTACAGGCATGAACGGCAACGGATCTTACACCCCACTGCGAGTGTATCACAACAGCAAGTCGAAAAAAGGACACTTTAGATATTAAGTATAGTTCTAAAGCCACCACATCACCACGAAATCAGATTTTTGTAAATATTTTTATATATTGCAAGTGTGCAGCTTTATCGGTAATATTGCGTTAAGGCTTGTTTATTTTTCGAAAGTAACAGTTTTGTCTTGTTGTATATTTTTATAACCGAATGTTTTGTTTAAATGCTCATATTTAAATAACTAGGTACTTAGGTTACAAAATTACAAACACTTAGGAAACACTGCCTCTTTAATTTTTTAATATTTTGATATGACGCACTGAATGAATAATTTCTATTAATTAAAATGTTGTTGAAATATCCGAGTTTTTCTAACCCGAATTTGTACACAAACAAAAAATCTCTAAAGAATGACTTCGCAACTCACTTTGCTTACTAAGGTATTTTTTTGCGTCTTACGTTTGTCATCAAGTTTACTAACCATTGAGTTATCCGCCGTCATGGGGTGAAAGTGTATTAGACAGTGAAGTAACACTGTGACGTCATATGAATTTTACGTATTCAACCTACATTTATGGTTAGCGAATTTAAAACTTTCGGTTCTGTGCTTTTCAATGGATATCGGTGGATGAGTGCGCGTCGAGTGTAAACCTGTCCATTAAAAAAGAAGAGGATGATTCTGTGCAAAAATACGCGTTCAGTGGACTGTGGTCAAGCGTTCGTAACAAAATGTCTCAATCATATCATAATCATATTTTTCTGTAACTTCGACCAAATTTTTGTCCGAGTGCCCGTCGAAATAAACTTGTTATTTTTACGTATTTTAAGGTCTTCAACTATTCATGATATAACCATTGTGAAAGCGATAAGAGTGAAAGTCATATCATAGTTCCACAAATTTTTCACTACGTCAAGACCAAAACCCTACGTTAATCCCAAATCTAGTTGTTTTTAAATTTCTTACGAAGTTCTTACAGCCCTTTTTTGTATTTTGTGTAGTTAATTACAAAATTCTAAAATGAAAAAACTAAACCAAACAACTCATTACTGCTTAAAATTTGATCTCTTGGACACGGAGCCACTAAGGAAAATTTTGAATCAGTGCTTTTTTTAACAATTTCCTATCAAAATACATTATGAAAATTATATTTACCTCAACGGTTTGGCAGTTTTGACGCAACAATGAGATTAGGACCAGAAAATTTAAAAAACAACTGATAGACCCGTTCGCACTTCTGAACCTTTCACGATATTTTTTGTTCATCATTCGTGAAGCGAGATTTTTTTCGGACCGTCTACACCTTTCCGTAGTTTTTTGAATATCGGGTTGTTAATTATAAAATTGTAAAATAAAAATGTTGAATTAAAAAACTGATTAGTACTTAAGACTTGATTTTTTGGTAACTTTTAATCAGTACTTTTGGACAGATAATTCACTTTCTTGCATAAATACTTAAGATAATTATGTTTACCTCAATCGCTTGACGGTTTTGACCGAACAACAATTTAAAACACAAATGATAGAGTCGTTCCCACTTCTGAACCTGTCATTTGCGAGGCGAAAATGAAAAACCAACCTTTCGCTGTACATTTTATTAACAAAAGACTTAAGGAAAGAATATCGTTTTGCGCGGGGCGTTTTAACTATTCAATTTCTCTTTCGCACGAATTATTTCTTCGACTGCTCGCGACTTTTGCACCTGCACTATCGCCGCCAACATCCTTTTGACGATGGGCGACGGCGGGTCGTTTATATTGTAAGAAAAACTACTGAAATCCGGCACTTCCGGGCCGTCATTTTGCGGTCCGTCTTGACGCGGACTAATCTCGTGTTCCGTAACATTTTCCGCCTTGTTTTCCGACGTATTCGCCGCCGCGTCCGTCTGTTTTTCCGAAACAACGGCCGCGTCGGTCTTTTTTCCCATCGCGTCCACGTCCTTCACCATTCCGGTTTTCTCGTCCAGTATTTTGGTGGGCGGATCGTCCGGTATAGTGATACAATCCGACGACACGTTCTGTAGGGCGGAGAACGATTTGACCTTCAGGTAACCGCCACGAAGTGGCGGAGGCGCAGGGCTAGGACTCTTGCTGACGGCTGTCAAAGTAGTTGTAGGCACTAGGGTTAGGGTCGGGGAATTCCCTATTCCCTGCCCTCGTTTGACGTTCGTCAGGGTAACGTTCGGTGACAAAATCAGCTGTAAAAAAAAGGTGTACGGTGTGTTTCGAAATATAACGTCTCGGCCATAGGCATTGTTTATGTTTTAATTAATAAATAAATTAGAAATTTACAAGCACGGTGTAGCCTCTATAACAAAGACACTAATTTCCAAGTGCCGTGATAAATAAATAAATAAAACTTTAAGTTATGAGAAAATGGTAGACAGGAAAGATGTATAAATCGTTAGGATGCGCAATTTAAATTTAATTTGAAGTATACTGGGTGGCTAAAAAAAAGCGTGACGAATAAAACGTACATTTTTTTAAGAAGAAGTATTAGGAATAGGTATATGACATACTAATAAAAGTTGCAGGTCTTTCAGAAAAAATAATAACCGAGAATCAATAATTATTTTAAAAATAAAACTTACACTTTAACTGTTGAGATACTCGATAATAAAAATGAAATAAAATTTATTTTCTTAATATCTGTAATAACACTTTAAGGTATATGTTCTACTTAAAAAAAAAGATTGTTATTAATGTATTAACAATTATTAATAGAAGATAGGGTTTTTATTTTAAGAGAAATCAGTAGCGTACCATTAATGTCTGCCAAAATAGAGAGGTAAAATTCCGTATCTCCGCCACTGGTGTATTTGTAAAAAATTCTGGTACACTAAATAATGCCTCTTGATACATTAAACCATCAACGAGATTTTTCAATAATCCAAGAATATTCATTTATTTTGACTACCCTGTAGCTTCTAATTCAAATTCTGTTGAATATAATGGCGCTATTTCGACACTTTCTTAGAAAAGTGGAAATAATGGAAAAACTATTAGGTTTAGATGTGTATTATCATTAAGAAAAAAAAAATGAAAAATTTTAAAACGAATTTAAAACAAAATTTAATTTAACGTTTTAAACGTTTCAGTAATTTGAGTTTTTCTTTAATAATTAAAATGTTAATCAAGAGGGTTTTTTGGTTTAGATTTTTTAAAGATGACAATGCAGCAAACATATTTACCAAAATGTCAGTTATGATTTTAACAAAAAAGTTTATTTAACTTTGGCATAAATTCGACACGAAAAATTGTACAAAAGTACAAAACGCTCATCGCAGTATAAAATACGTTGTAATGAATTAACACATGATAAAACCACAACTAACCATAACTAAAATTATATACTCAAAAGAAGACATTGATAAGAAATTATGCAACAAGTGCCTGTCAAAATTTTTCAAACTTCTCTTTTTCTGTTTTAGTTACGTCACTTACGTCACCTGTTTTAGTTACGCATTACGGAATAAGTATAAGTTATAAATAATAATAAATTATATTTAATAATTTGGTATAAAATCGATGTTCGGTGTTAAACCCCTTTTTTTTATAGAAAAAAGTGTTAATTAAAATTAACTCGTCAGGTTATTACAAAATACCTTCTCCTAGATTCAGATTCAGTTTAGGAATACGGAAGCCAGCAGTATTATAGTAACCTGCGGAAATTTTTTGAAAAAAAAAATTGACATTTCTAACTAAAATTATATCCTCACAAGGTGACATAAAATTCACCGTCTTACCTGACTTCGTTAAGTCACATGGCATCACGCAATAAGTTATAAATTATAGAAAATTATAAAATCTTTTTCTTCTCTGGGTATAAGAATCATATCGATTATAATGATTTAATATTTTTTTATAAACTCGATGATCGGTATTAAACCTCTTTTTTTTATAGAAAAAAGTGTTTTAAAAAAAACGCTTACAGGCGGAGGGTACCCTGTGCTAGGTGGAAGAATTATACTGAGCGGTAAAGTCTGTTCATAGATATAAGAAAGTGACTAACTGATACGAATTAAGGAAAGACCCGGGCAAGCTGTAAGAACGAAATATGGCCGAACAGGTCCGTACTTTGCTTAGAATTTAATTATTTGGGGTTTTGTTAGGAAAGATATTAAACAATATTTATTTATTCATGTATGTATTTATGTTTAAATCTAAAATAAAATTACAAATTATTTTTATTTCCTACTTAAATTACTTAAAATTATTCACATAATATATCAGCATCACTATCGCCTGTTCTAATTATTATTTGTTCTATATTATTTGCAATATAGATATACGACTGTTCTGCTTTTTCTATATTTCTATATGTTTAACAGAATTTGCCCAACTTTGCGAAGTTTGAGGACCTTGGAGTTAACACGGGGAAAACATTGTTACGACGAATGGCAGATTTCAGTTGGTGCCAAACATGTTCAACGGGATTAAATATACAGTGGTAAGGTGGAAGCCTTAAAACTGTATGCCCTAGATTTTTTGCATAATTATCACAGACGTATTCCTTTTGTAGGTTCAAGCGTCAATTAATTGCTTTTTGGTATAATCTTCGTGAAAATAAATGTCGTTATTATACATGTAGTTTTGGTTTGTTGCCTTTGTGTCACATGAGGAAGGGGAACTGTCTACTGTGATAACTTGCATTCTCCAATACAATGACGCTATTAGGAGGAATGTTTGAAACTAGTTTGTTTTTAAACCAACTTTCAAATAAATCAGCGGTGGTGTCTTCATGGTAATCCGGAGAAAAATCTTTAATATTTTTCGCCGACAGAGAAAGTCCATTTGGAATCCAGAGCCAGCATGCAAAATAGTTATTCTTTTACCTCTTTTTGATGGCGCGTTTATCACTTATCAGTTGAGTCAACCCAACCCTTTTCCATACAGTTGATGTTGGAATTTTCGTCAATGTGACCGTTTCTTCTAAAGATCCTTGCTTGCTGGCACCACATTCAATGAGAGTCAAATAAACATTGTTTATAATTTCTTTAGTCTCAATAGAATGGTCGTTTCTACATTTGGGCGGGAGCATCTCCTGAGACACACTAGACTCGCACATATTTTGCATAATTCGCACACGATTCAACACACACTGTATTACACACGAAATAAGAACGATTACTTATAAACTAAAACTAAGTAGTATACCAAACCAAAGAACATTAAACACAGGAAGGTATAAAATTATTTTCTATTACGGATCACAATTTTACCTGAATTTAAATTCCGAAACTTTAGATAATAATCTTGTTACATTGTATGTTAATGACCACCCTTGGATAATCCCATTCAGAAGCAATTGGTCACTTTCTTATATCTATGGACGGACCATACCTAAAATCGCTATTTACCATTGACCAACAGAACCCGGGAGATTTGCAATTGCAGTATTCTGTATATAAGTTTCTTAAAAAAAAAAAAACTTACAGGCGGAGGATTGGTCTGAGTGACGGTCGTCGCTGGAGCGCTGACGAAAATGACGTCGTCGTCATCTTTAATCGTAATCGGATCGGAAGACTGGGCGGAAGGGGCGGGGACGGCCGCCGCCGCCGGTTTCGTCGGAAACTTGAAGTTTTTGATGCCCGCGATAAACTCCGTCCTCAGATTCTTCCGGACTTGGATCAGGGAGTTGATGGAGGTGCTCAGAACCTCCTGTAACTTGTTGTGGACGACCGCGAGAGCCTCTACGTTCGTGGCCTGCGACTGCTGCCTGTTCAGTTGCGTCAGCGTATAGGAGAGGTTCGAGTTGACCCGGGCCGCCGCCCTCACGGTCTTCTCGAACCACTCGTGCTTCATGGCGGGCGCGAGTTGAACGAGCCCCGCCCTTATCGGTTGCGTCGGTCGAACTCCGGGTGTTAATTTCGGTCGGCCGGCGCCCGGGACGGCTGCGGTACCACTGTCGGAACCGTTTTCGGTATAAACGCCACATTTAACTCGCGATTTTATCGGTTGGTTTCCGCGAAAACTTCAAACGTCACCACCGATTGACGCGAGTACAGCTCACCAAACGATATACCGCTTTTACAACTTTTTAAGACCCGAGTGTTGTAAAACATACGAGATATTCTGTTCAGATGTTAACCGACAAGAAGAGAAGATAAGGGAAACAGTTATATTAATTTAAGTTGGTGTATTTGTGAATGTAGTGAATTTGCCCATTAGATAGATTGATCACCTATATATCAAAGCTTAAACATAACATAACGCCTAGGATTTATAACGGATGTTTTCCCAGTTTGCTATTGGTCTTAATTAGTAATTATCAACGTTTTATTACAACATAGTTCCGGGGCAAAGGAATTAATTAGAAGGGTGAAGTAGAAAAAACATCTGCTCCTTGTTGAAAAATGTGTCAACGAAGGAGAAAATTTAGAATAACATTTTTCTTTTTACAAAACTTCTGGATCGCGCTTGCTAACGTTGACTGCCTCAGAGCTTGACTGAAACTGGCCAATATTTCACTCTGTACCTGCTTATATATTGTTTGAGGGCGGGAGGAGCTAACTGAGTGGCACAAACACCGTCTCGGATGACTGATTCCCATATTGGTAGAGCCGTTAAGATTACTAGGTTGCTTATAGATTTCTATAGACTCTAGTTTTAGTTTTATCGAATAAAATTTTATGTCTGGTTTCGTCATTGTATTCTGCAACTGTTGATGAGTTTATGTGTCTTAAGGCTATTTCCTGAACCTAGTTGAATGCTATAAACTCCTGGCATCTCAGATGGAATATTGCCTTTGGCGGATCGAAGATGTTGAGAGATTTTTGGACGAGTGGCAAATCTGGTTGTGACGTTATATTTCTTTAGAACTTTTGATAGTGATGTTTTGAATGTAAGGATGGACAACAGTGGCAAGTGTAGGATTGCTTTCGACCTCATTGCTATTGTAAGGTTGTAATGAAGTGTATTTTGTGATGGAACGCTTAATATCTCTAATGTGTAAATAATTAGAGAGAAGACCAGAGGTAAGGTGTTTTAATTCTGCGTTCAATGACTAACAACAAGAGAGTTGATAATCTATGATTTTTCGGCAGGATGGCGATGTGACCATGCATTAAGCTATCGGTCTTGGTCTGTGTGCGGTAGGTTTTCTGTAAATACAATGACCCAACTCAATGGTAAAACGTATGTTAGAGTTTAAATGTTAATGTTTAAATTTTGGTTTTGGGAGAAAGTTCGCGAGAAAATGGTTAACATTTTGAACAGTTTTTTTTTTTGCTTTTGGTTAATTGGTTTATCTTTTTTAATAATACATAGGTCACAAAGCAACGTGAAATGTTACAAATAAAATATTAATATTAAACCAATTCATGCAAAGGATAAAAGTCATTATGCAAAGCGTTGTCAGGAATAAATAAGTTTTTTTTTAGGAATTTTAGATATTTAAGAAATCCTTTTTCTAAGGGCTACCTTTAAAAAATCATTTCGTGAGGTCATTTATACAAATAACCCCCAATACCGTTATACATTTTTGAGAAGCTCATCACAAGCGGAATCAAATTTGCTTATAAAATATCGAGTGTTCCAAAAAAAAAAAAAAAATTATTGGAAGATTTTGGTGAAGTGCATTTTGTGATGGAACACTTAAGGTTTGAGAGAACGCAAGGCCGACCAACAACGGACATACCCCTCACCAATACCAAAAGTTTACAAAAATCGGGGAAAAATTTTTTTCAACGTCCTAAAACGCCACCTGGTGGCGGGGTACTCGTCGGGAAGCATCTCGCTCGCGGCGCATTCGATAGCCCAGGAAACGCCCCTTTCAACGACACCAATTTCGTTAAAATCCATCAAGTGATTCGGGAGTTATCGATATTTATTTCCCAAAACAACCCCCCCCCTCCTATTTGGAGTAAAAAAGCATTTCGATTCGTCTCACCTTCAGAAAATATTGAACTGAGGTGGCTTTTACTTGATGAAAATCCATTTAACAAAATAAATAAGAACTAAAAGTTCAGATTTTCAGGAAATTATATATTATGCCATGACAATTGTTTATTAAATGTCTTATTTCGTGAAAATCTGAACTTTTAGTTCTTATTTATTTTCAGAAAATATTACCCACTTAATAAGAAATTTCCGTGGAAACCAGCGTTATAAAATAAATAAATAAAAGTAAGGGTTCGTACCCGATCTGGGCACGCGGTGACGTCATACGATGCGGCAGGATCTTGATGTAACCGGGACCGGCGATCCGAGGCCCGGCCTGGAGATTGGGACGGGTCACCGTGTAACCCGGACCTCCGGAAACGGGAGTCTTGGTCCGGAAAGTGGTGTTACCAACGCGGAATACCTGACCGGACGTTCCAGGTTGTTGGCCCTTGTTGACGAGCGTCGCGTTCACCGCGGTCGCTATCGGTCTAGCGACCATGATGGCGGGCCGGGGAGCTATTTGGATCGGGGTGGTGGGCGCGACGACCGGATTTAGCCTCTAAACGGGAAAAAAAACGCAATATTACTTTTTTTTCCAAAGAAAATTCCAGAGGCCACTGCAATACTATTTACAAAACCTCTGGGTTCCTCCTGCCAATCATCCTGCTGGTTGTTTCAGAGCTTAACTGAAATTGTTTCGGTTCAGTTCAGAAGAAGCCAGCAGGATGATTTTCTAGAGAAATTTAATTTCTTATTTTTTTTCAATCTGATGTACAGTTTTTTCTTGAGAAAATAAAAACCTCTTTTCTGCGTGGTCATAACAATATCGCTAATATGACAGCATATGCAGAGCAATTAGTTCTTATTTTTTAAGCGAGACGACTAAAAAAAATGGGATTAAATCCGCAATTGGTTCTTTTTTTAAAGGAAATCAGTGGCGTGCCAAATTCACCACTACACAGAGGAATAAGAATATATTTTAAATATTATTCGTTTTTACTATTTTTCTTTATATTGTATATATTTATTATGTAGTTACATTTTATTATTTTTATTAGACTTTAAGGTGGCAAATTTTTTTAGTGATCCCTGTTATTGCAAATTTAAATTTTAAGCATAACTAAGAGAGTTTAAAAAACACTTTTAACGAAATTTAGAAGCGATTCGAGGTCCGTTAAAAACTGAAATACGGAATTTTTAAAACCCATCACTGCAACTTATACATGTTTTTTTTTTTTATTTATCTTATATATTATATTATGTTATATTTTATCAATCATTATTATTTATTTTTCTTTATATTGTATATGCATATTTTTTAGTTATATTTTTGTTTGTTATTGCAAATTTAAATTTTATTATTAGCCTCTCTGAATTGGCTGTTTCGGAAGATAGCCATCTATTAATGAACTTTCCTTTATTCATTTCATATGCTACATTTTGTAACTCATTATTTTTTATACTGCACAAACATTATTTATTTCAATTTTATTATTTATTTTTATTATAGTCTTTAAATTTGGCAATTTTTTTTAACGATTCATATTAGTGCAAATTTAAATTTCATTATTACTGTCTCTGAATTGGCCGTTTTGGGAGAAACCAGAAGAGGGTTTTCAAAAAAATACGGAATTTTTAAAAACTATCACTGCAATTTATACTTACATTTTTTTATTTCTTATTTTATGTATTATTGTACAATACATATTTTATTATTTATTCATTTATTATCATTTTACGAATGTTACTATTTATTTTTATTATAGTTTTCAGTTGTCCTTCGTTATTAGGGAAGTTTTGTATAGACATGTTTCTTTCTTTCTTAAATTTTAAAAAATGAGCACTGCTTTGTTTTTTTGATGCCCGCTGACTCTTATTTTTCTGTTTTCAAACGAAACGTCTAACCAAAAGTAGACCGTTTACTTTATAGTCATCAAAAAAAAGAAACTTTAGTTACTTTGCGAGGCGGTTCTTCCTCTACGACAGGACGGTAGTCCGGATCGTCGGACGAGTCTTTCCTCTTCCGTTTTCTCGGTTCCTGTGACGGTTTTCCGTTCTCTTTTTTTTGCGTTTTACTATTGCACACAACGTTGCACCCCGTGTAGTCGGTCGTCATCAGTTCGGGCATCTTTTCGGCGAGAGACGACACACGCCTAAATAAAAAAATTAAGTTTTTTTTTTTTCGAACAAACAATTTATTTCCTGGATTTCTCTCATTTCGCCAATGACCCCGTTCAGTCATCGGTTTCGATTAAGCTCTGCGCGGGAGAAATCGAGAAGATTTGAATATTTGTTAATAAAATTAATAATATTTATTTTAACGAAGACGACTACAAAATTGTATACGACGTATAAAAAAAAAGATCCGCACAAAAAAGAATTCTAGATTCTAGATTATAAAATGTTTTGGATAACAAAAATATTTTAAACTTTTGTCTCTAAACTCCAATGGCAGATTGTAAAAAATAATCAAGTGACCTCGGCGTCTTGTATGCGCAAGACCCCTTAATATTCGATCTTGAACCAACAATACCAATAATTTACACTATGTGAAATAGGAGTATGACAATGAGACTTCCAGTTGAAACATTCACCCAGAACCCTCACAGGATCCCTACTTGCGACGACGTCATTGCCTACACATACATTAAAATTATCACGTGGATTCTGATAATTATGAAACCTTATAGTTTGGGTTTTGCTTGCGTTGAAATATAGATGAATTTATCCAAACCACGTCATCAGCACTTCTGTGAGAGGTCATCGTCATTTTCACACGACAATACCAAGTAAATATCATCATAAGCGTACATCACAAAAAACGACGTATCAGGTAAAAGTTTCAAGATACAATTTACAAGAGTACGGGGCCAAAACTGAACCTTGAGGGACACCCATCTCTTTGCGTAGATAGACTCGCCAGTGGGAGAATTTTGTATTGGGCAAACAAACCCCTACAAGATGTAAACTTGGAAATATGCGCAAGACTCCTTAATATTCGATTTTCAGCCAAAAATACCAATAATTTACACCACATATACATTTAGAGTTGAAATAATTGTATCACAATGAGACTTCCAGTTGAAACATTCACCCAGAACCCTCACAGGATCCCTACTTGCGATGACGTCATTGCCTAAACATACATTAAAATTATCACGTGGATTCTGATAATTATGAAACCTTATAGTTTGGGTCTGTCTAAGAAAGCGTACTCAAACCCTTTCGAAAAACTATTTAAAAAAGGGCACGACTCTGTTTCTTTTTAGACACGATGTGCCACTTAGAAAAGATAGATGCAATAAGAATGTTAGCGGACCCATTATCAAACCCGATCCTCTTTTTAATAAAAACGTTGGTATGCCATCTGATCCAAGACTTCTTGCTTTTACTTTTTTTTTTAAATATGCAACAGCCCATCCTCCATACAAAGAAATATATATAAAAACTCTGGTCATTAACATCCCAAATAAAACTCAGACCAACGAACCAAGAACTAACGATATTTTTCGTATGATATAAAAAATAGTTATTAAATAAAGACGCCACGATATTTTTCTGCTCTGCTTATTCATTAAATTAAAATTCTGAATACTGGACCGACAATCGCTCCGAAATGACCCCCGCGAGCAGCACTACAAAGATCGACAGAATCCGAAATCCGAACTAATTTTTTATGTTTTTTCACCGGTTAAGAACAAACAGATTTTTTTTTAATTAGCACTAGACGCCTTAATTTCGTTATTAATCCGCTTTTTTAATGCTTTTTAAAGAAAGCTAGAAATAAGCATGGAAAATAAATAAATACAAATTATTTTATATTCCTAGGCGTAACTAAGATATTCACAGAAGATTCAAATATATTTATATATATATATATATATATATATATATATATATATATATATATATATATATATATATATATATATATATATATATATATATATATATATATATATATATATATATATATATATATATATATATATATATATATATATATATATATATATATATATATATATATATATTTATTTATATATGCTAAATGATAAAAAATAGATAATTAACGCTGGCGATAACTTACGCGAGCTCCGTGCGGTAATAGTCGATGAATTCGGCACAAGAGGCCCTCAATCTGGCCAACTGGGTCGGTTGGCATCGATAGCAGTTCCAGTCGTCGCTGTTCCGGATCTCTTTGAACCGTTTCAGGCCGAAATTGTTCTTGATGCACCTCTGAGACACAAAATAATAAAGCAAAAACGTAACCAGCTTCTTATGGGAGATACGAAAAAAAGTTTCGTACAAAAATTGCTCGGATTCTCCTAAAGATTTAAAATATTGTTTGTAATTTTGTTGATACGGGGTGTTCCAAAAAAGTGTCTTCGCGACATCAACTTTGTTATTTTAAATGGAACACCCTATGTGTCGACATTTTCGGAATCCTTTATTAAAACAAAGGTCACTTTCTTGAGAAATTCTTATTCGAATTTTGCATAGTTTACGCCCCATACAAAAATTGTGTTGTGACGCTACTGATAAAGGTATTGCAATGAAAATTTAACCACAGACTAATGAGATGATGCACCACTCAATCGGTTTGACAGATGCGCCTCAGCTTATACAGGGTGTCTCCAACAGGTGGTACCGCTTTGGCGAATTCGATTAACAAAAATAAGGTAATTTATAATAGTTAAATAAGAACAAACGTTGTTCAGATTTTCACATAAATATATTTAAATGACAGCTGTTTCGGCAACACCGTGCATTTATCAAATGTCATTTGAATTTGAATTTAAAGCTGCTCACATTAGGTCACTTGTTGGCAATATTAGGTAGTTTTTAAATATCAAAGACACGATACTACTTCTTTTAAAAATACAACAAAAACAATCAGAAATGTCAAAGTTTGTTTATACCTTAATGCGTCAAAAAATAAAATTGTGATGTCATAGCCAACTACATTTATAAATATTTCGATATTTCTTTGTTATTTTGACGCCAGATGAAACGAGCATTTTAAGAGGGACATTTTTAACTAGACTTTATGGAACAAATTAACGAACTCTTTTTAGTTCATTTTTTGTTTTATAGATTGGTTTTTTCAAATTTGCTACCTCGTTTAGTGAGCCTATAAACTTTATTTATTTATTTTTGTTATAAGGTATTTTCATTCAAGGTAGATAATTAACTATAAGAAAGGAAATGTTAAGGTAGCAAAAAAAATTTTTTTTTGAATAAAAAAGTTATGTAAAAATTTGAAAAATTGTGTACCGTCCTAGGCCCCCCCACCAGATTAGTATGTCTGGTATATTGGACCATATTTTAAAAATAGAATTTTTCAGTTCATTTTTTATATAATTTATGAATTATATGTAAGTTTAGATTTTTCAATAAATCGTTAAGCACTAAGGAGGATTAAATATTAAGGAATCTTAGATTTAGTAAAAAATTTTAGTACTGACAAAATTTGCGCCAGCAGTAGCGGTTATGAAAATATAATTAGGAATTTATTTATTTTATTCTATTTTTTTTATATTATTATTTATTAAAAATTTTTAAGATCTGTTACAGTGTGTAGTATACAGTCGATTTTTTTTTTAAATTTCCGCGTATTAATGGACACCCTGTATTGTTAGCAATAGGTTTTATTCTGAAGTATCATATCTTCTATAAAAGAAGTAGTATCATGTTTTTGCTATTCAAAACATATCTATTATTGCCAACAAGTGACCTAATGTGGGCATTGTTATCTTAAACTTCGAATATCTCAAAAAGTACGTAAAATTTAAATATAAGATAAATTACAAACTCACCTTATTTTTTGTTCTAGAATTGATATCTGAATAAAAATATAGTGTGTTACATTTGAAAATCTTGAGATTTTGTAAATTGAATTCGCCAGAACGGTACCACCTATTTGGGACACCCTGTATAAGCTGAGGCGCATCTGTCACACTGATTGAGTAGTGCATCATCTCATCAGTCTGTGGTTCAATTTTCATTGCAATACCTGGATGGATAGCGTCACAACACAATTTTATATCGAACAATCAAAAAATGAAAAAAAAAATTCTGCCCAAACTATGCAAAATTCGAATAGGAATTTCTTTAGAAAGTGACCTTTATTTTAACCAATTATTCCAGAAATGTCTAAATATAAAGGGGGTTCCATTTAAAATGACGATGTCGGGGGGAGACATTTTTGGGACACCCTGTATCAACAAAATTATAATATTTTAAATCTTCAGGAGAGTCCAGGAAACTTTTGTATGAAACTTTTTTTCCAAAACTGATGCTCAAATAACTTGTTGCACTTGTTTACAAACTTAATATGTCTAGTGTAACGAGCTTTTTATAAATTAAAAAAAAAAAACGAAAGCAAGATCACTATAACTGTCTATTTTTTGTTTATCTTTTTTTTATATATTAACCTTTCAAATGCATTTTTCAGAGCTAGCGAAAACGCCGAACTGAACCTCAAAGCAAGGTCACTATAACTGTCTATCCTTTCTTCGTCATTCTTTTTATTTATTGGCCTTACAACTGCCTTTTTCACAGCCACAGGAAAAGCCAAAACTGATGGTCAAATAAGTTATTGCAGAGCTAGCGAAAACGCCGAAATGAGCCTCAAATAAGTTGGTGCTCTTATTTAAAAACTGAAAGCAAGGTCACTATAACTGTCTATCTTTTGTTTATCTTTTTTTTTATATATTGACCTTTAAAATGCCTTTATCAGAGCTAGCGAAAAGGCCGAACTGAACCTCAAATATATTGTTGCACTTATTTAAAAACTGAAAGCAAGGTCACTATAACTGTCTATCCTTTCTTCGTCATTCTTTTTATTAATTGGCCTTACAACTGCCTTTTTCACAGCCACTGGAAAAGCCAAAACTGATGGTCAAATAAGTTATTGCATTTGCTTAGAAACTTAATACGTCTAGTCTAGTCTAGCTTTTTATAAATTAAAAAAAAATGAAAGCAAGATCACTATAACTGTCTATCTTTTGTTTATCATTCTATTGATATATTGACCTTTAAAATGCCTTTATCAGAGCTAGCGAAAAGGCCGAACTGAACCTCAAATATATTGTTGCACTTATTTAAAAACTGAAAGCAAGGTCACTATAACTGTCTATCCTTTCTTCGTCATTCTTTTTATTAATTGGCCTTACAACTGCCTTTTTCACAGCCACTGGAAAAGCCAAAACTGATGGTCAAATAAGTTATTGCATTTGCTTAGAAACTTAATACGTCTAGTCTAGTCTAGCTTTTTATAAATTAAAAAAAAATGAAAGCAAGATCACTATAACTGTCTATCTTTTGTTTATCATTCTATTGATATATTGACCTTTAAAATGCCTTTATCAGAGCTAGCGAAAAGGCCGAACTGAACCTCAAATATATTGTTGCACTTATTTAAAAACTGAAAGCAAGGTCACTATAACTGTCTATCCTTTCTTCGTCATTCTTTTTATTAATTGGCCTTACAACTGCCTTTTTCACAGCCACTGGAAAAGCCAAAACTGATGGTCAAATAAGTTATTGCATTTGCTTAGAAACTTAATACGTCTAGTCTAGTCTAGCTTTTTATAAATTAAAAAAAAATGAAAGCAAGATCACTATAACTGTCTATCTTTTGTTTATCATTCTATTGATATATTGACCTTTAAAATGCCTTTATCAGAGCTAGCGAAAAGGCCGAACTGAACCTCAAATATATTGTTGCACTTATTTAAAAACTGAAAGCAAGGTCACTATAACTGTCTATCCTTTCTTCGTCATTCTTTTTATTAATTGGAATTACAACTGCCTTTTTCACAGCCACTGGAAAAGCCAAAACTGATGGTCAAATAAGTTATTGCATTTGCTTAGAAACTTAATACGTCTAGTCTAGTCTAGCTTTTTATAAATTAAAAAAAAATGAAAGCAAGATCACTATAACTGTCTATCTTTTGTTTATCATTCTATTGATATATTGACCTTTCAAATGCCTTTTTCAGAGCTAGCGAAAACGCCGAACTGAACTTCAAATATGTTGCTGCACGTATTTAAAAACTGAAAGCAAGGTCACTATAACTGTCTATCCTTTCTTCGTCATTCTTTTTATTTATTGGCCTCACAGCTACATTCTTCAGAGCTACCGGAAAAGCCGAACTGAGCCTCAAATAAGTTGGTGCTCTTATTTAAAAACTGAAATCAAGGTCACTATAACTGTCTATCTTTTATTTATCATTCTTTTTATATAGTGACCTTTTAAATGCCTTTATCAGAGCTAGCGAAAAAGCCGAACTGAACCTCAAATATATTGCTGCACTTATGTAAAAACTGAAAGCAAGGACACTATAACTGTCTATCCTTTCTTCGTCATTCTTTTTATTTATTGGCCTTACAACTGCCTTTTTCACAGTTACTGGAAAAACCAAAACTGATGCTCAAATAAGTTATTGCATTTGCTTAGAAACTTAATACGTCTAGTCTAGTCTAGCTTTTTATAAATTAAAAAAAACTGAAAGCAAGATCACTATAACTGTCTATCTTTTGTTTATCATTCTATTGATATATTGACCTTTAAAATGCCTTTATCAGAGCTAGCGAAAAGGCCGAACTGAACCTCAAATATATTGTTGCACTTATTTAAAAACTGAAAGCAAGGTCACTATAACTGTCTATCCTTTCTTCGTCATTCTTTTTATTAATTGGCCTTACAACTGCCTTTTTCACAGCCACTGGAAAAGCCAAAACTGATGGTCAAATAAGTTATTGCATTTGCTTAGAAACTTAATACGTCTAGTCTAGTCTAGCTTTTTATAAATTAAAAAAAAATGAAAGCAAGATCACTATAACTGTCTATCTTTTGTTTATCATTCTATTGATATATTGACCTTTCAAACGCCTTTTTCAGAGCTAGCGAAAACGCCGAACTGAACTTCAAATATGTTGCTGCACGTATTTAAAAACTGAAAGCAAGGTCACTATAACTGTCTATCCTTTCTTCGTCATTCTTTTTATTTATTGGCCTCACAGCTACCTTCTTCAGAGCTACCGGAAAAGCCGAACTGAGCCTCAAATAAGTTGGTGCTCTTATTTAAAAACTGAAATCAAGGTCACTATAACTGTCTATCTTTTATTTATCATTCTTTTTATATAGTGACCTTACAACTGCCTTCAGCTAGCGGAAAAGCTGAACTGACCTTCGCATAAGTTATTACACTTCATGAAGTCGGTGTAATAAGCTTAATAATAATGATAGGAATATTTACAAAAAACCACTCGCGTCGCAGAGATAGGACAAACAGCATCACATGAAAATCATTTACCACGATGGCTTACCTTGCAGAAGACGAACTCGCAGGAGGAACAGCAGAGTACTTCCCCGCCCTGGCCGCACCACCTGCAATAGAGTTCGCTGCCGTCTTCGTCTTTTTCGAACTCGCCGCTCGTATAAAAATGGTAGCAGTTCTTGCAGATCAACACCTTCAGCAGAGGGTGCACGAACCGGTTGTTCTGGCCGTTTAAGGCGCTGCCCAGGTGGACGTTGCAAGCGGTGCAGTGGATTTTTGTGTTCTGCACAGGATTGTCTGCAGGATTTACCAGTTCGGATAATAAAAAAAAAAAACGGCGTCGGTGTTACAACTTTTACCTTTGCCGTACATCTGAGACCTTAACGCCATTTCTTCTGCGGTCAGGTCGAAAATCACTAAAAAAACAAGAACGTCCTATATATTGAAGTGAGGTTGGCTTTTACTTGATGAAAATCCATTTAACAAATAAATAAGAACTAAAACTTCGGATTTTTAAGAAATTATATATATTCACATGACAATTGTTTCGACAGCACCGTGTCTGTCTTCACCAAATGTAATATTTACAAACTACCTGCTACTATATACACCGAAAATTGACAATGAAACCTTAATGTTATTGTGAGAATTTAAGTTTAATAATGGAGAGATATTTAAATCTAATTGATCGTTAAGCAATACATTTGAATTTTGTTAATCTTCCAATAAATTTAATTTTCTACTTTTTGTGGCTGTATGTAAAATATCAAAATTGTCGTCAAAAATGTGTTTTTCTGTGTTTAAGTGTGTAGCTTAATTAGAATTGAGAGTATTGTTTTTAAATGCTCTTTTATGTTTGTTAATGCGTTTCTTGAAGGATCTAGAATATAGAATATAGAATCTAATAGGAACTGCCGGATGCATGGAAAAACCATTTCCAAAACCTGAGAATAAAAGAGCTACGATGATGCAGAACAAGAATTACGACCAAACAAAATTGAAAGAAGAGGAGAAAGCCTGAAAAATATATTCATACATTTTTATCCTAACTAGACTTTTTTTAAATATAAAATAATATATAGGTTGTTCCTTAAGAAAAAATATAAAAATTGAGTATTAAAAACTATAATTTGTTTTTTTATGTTTGATCATGTCCATATATCATATATCTTTCACTAGCTAATTTGCAACTAAAAAATAGCAGTTCCGATAATAAATCATTACTATTAGTCTTAAAAATTCCCCCCACTACATTTATACTTCTTTCGTTATATATTATTATTATTATTGATTGTTTTTATGTCACCATCCTTTCTTTACTCTGTGGAGGGTCACACAGCACCGATACGTCAATAAAATTATTATTTTGGTTTTTCCAGTTTGACAGCCAGATCTGCATCCCAAGAAACAAAAAATAAACATTTTATGGTTTAAGAAAAAAATAAAAAAGGATTATTGTTATAATTTTAGTCCTATTTCAGGACTTTTCCAAGACTTTGGATTTAAAAATTAAATTAAATTAAATGGGGAAAAAAAACCTAAAAGTGACCTTTCCTCTCGGTAATGCTGTAAATAGAGTTAAACGTTTGGGAATTCACTTGGGAATTCACGCTTTTTCCTATTTGACTTCGCTTATGAATTTTAACTAATGAGAAAAAAAGAAACAAAATTTTGAAAAAAATAAATAAAAAGTATAATTTCAACATTTCATGAAGATTCACAATTTCAACATTTTTATTTATTAATATATCACACTTTTCCGGGAGAGAATTTCGGTGTATCTTTTTGTTTTTTTAATACTACTAATAATTTTGTATTTACGACGGACTACATAACCAAGAAAACCATAATTCTAACTCGAGGCTTTCTTCTTTTTTGTTACCTATATGTATATAACAATGTTGTTCATTTTTTTATTGTCTTTAGTTGAAAATTGTTAATTAATTAACAATTAACAAATAATTAATATGCAAAAACTGAAGGCTAAACGAGGAAGTGTATAAAATAAAAATAAAATCATATATTCTTTTTTATTTCACCGTCCTTTATTCTGAGGAAGGTCACGCAAGACCGAAACGTCAATAAAGGTAATATTTTGGTTTTTCGGTTTGATAACCACAACTCCATGCCAAGAAACCAAAAAATAAATATATTTTATGGTGTAACAAAAAAAAAAAAACAATTTTAGACCTATTTCGGGACTTTTCCAAGACTTTCCATTTCATGTCTCGTCCATAGAAAACAGATGGTATCTGTTAAAAATATAATTAAAAATACTAGGCAGTAAATCACTAAATTCTGTCAATTAAGTCACAGAAAATGCGAAAAAATGGGCAGAAGGACCATTTAATATAAAAAAGATAAAATCGAATAGAAAAAAAAACCTTAAAAGTGACCTTTCCTCTGGGTTATGCTGTATATAAATCTTAAAAGATGACCACATTATGAACGTTTGCTAATACCAACAGACTCTTCACAAAATAAAACATGATATTTATATGAAGATTCACAATATCAACAACTAAAAGTGCCGTTCGATGACAGAAAATGTACGCCCACATAAAATTGAAAAATATTATCAAGGAAACTCTGCCTCTACATGCTCTTAGGGCACCAAATGAACCGTCATGAGTTCATTAACACATTAAATTTGACATTACGCAACTTCAGGGCATTGTTAATAAATAAAGATCATCATATTCCTACCTTCTGCTCCGGTAACTTCATCAACTAGCGTGGAAAAGGTGGCTTCGTAGGGCAGGGGGCTCGCGTTTCCTTCATTAGCCGCGTTATCTTAAACAATCCCATTTATAATTTAGTTCCCCAATGTCCAGGCAACACCTTACCGTTGGTGATAACCGGAGCCTCGTCCACATCCATCGATATATCGGGACAAAGCAGGGACGGATCCAATTCCATTTCCATATCTTCTTCCGCTTCCCCGTCGTCTAAAAACGTTCGCAAATTCATTTGGCGCGGAACAAAACCAAAAACTACTCCCTTACCGCGCGAACCGGAAGACTTGGTCAGATGCTCCTTCAAAATCGAGGAATTCTTCTTCCTGCTACCCGATTCACCTTCCATAACCTCAGAGTCGTCGGTTTTCTTTATCGCGATAGCATCGACCCCTGCCAATTCTCCTTTATCACACGAACTTTTGTCCTCCACCTCCTTGGAGTCAACTTCTTCGCTTTTTTCATCACACGTTTCCACTTCACTGCCCGGTTCACAAACTGACTCTTTTCCGACACCCGAAGCAGTCACTTCTTTGAGGTTAACCGAATGGGAAGGGTCGTCTTTTTCCAGCAATTCCGCGTCAACAGCGGCTTTTTCACTATCAGCATCGGCTGTCGCTTCGGCACTGTCGGACGCACCCTCCTTATCGGAGGTACGGCTATCGCCGCAGGCATTTGCATCCGGAGTGCCTGGATCGGGCTCTGCCGCGTCCATACTGGATTTTTCCGGATCAGCGATCTTCAGGGTGCCGCCGTTATTAACGTCGCCAACGCCATTCTCTAATATACTCGGAGATTCGGATTTATTGTTATCTTCAACGTCCGTTCCCGCATTGTTTAGGGTGGTATCTAAAAAGCGAATTTTTGAAACGGATTTCTGGAATGTATACTCGCCGTCCGAACCTTTCTGGGCGGTTTTTTCGCGGACGTAAAACCCGGCCGTCGCATACTCGCGATCTAAAACGAAAAATACAAATCGCAAAGCAAAAACAACACAATCGAAAGGGTACCATTATTCGAGTCGTCCCCGTCGACCAATGACCGCTTTGTCCTGGAATTCTCGTAGGTTGCGATTTTATCTGGAACGGTATTCGTTTTAGCCAGAGCGCGTCGAAATAAGCAAATATACACTACCTGTCTGAACGCCGACAACTTCGTCCATTTTAAGGTTATCCTTCAAAAAATCAAACAAACATCTTGTTTACGTCGGAAAAACATTCGATCGCTCGCCTAGAAACTGTCACTCGATTTTCGCCACCCGCTTGTCCATAGCCGCCGCGATTATGTGCATCCACGTAGACGTAAAACCCGCTGGGAGATCGCCGAAAATCGGAAAGTTAGATTTAGACAGGTTCGTACCGTTAAAATTCGGCGGAAAAAATCCGCAGAGACCGAAACCCAACGCGACTGCAACAATGGCGTACCGCTGCTATTTCTCGAACCACGAAAATTTGTTACCACGCACGAATACGGCGGAAAAACACTTAATAGTGTGTTCTCTTTTTGTGCGAAACGACCGATACTACGTACGTCTGCACTTGGTCGGTAGCGGCTTGCGGATCGATGCGTTCGCGATCGACAGATGGCGCCTTCGGCGTCGAAGCCAGAGAGGTTATGGTGTCGCGGTTTTTACTGTGACACGTTCGATATCGAAAACGATCGAAATAGATTTAGTCAACGCGCAATGACAACAGACTTTTGACAGCAAGCGACATTTACGATCGTTAAACTAACCAAAAAAAAAACTGTTAATTTATGGTACGTTATTGCTGCGCGTTCAATTAAGTAGGATAAATCGTACATAGCTAAAAATTTGAATTGCAAAGGGTTCCGTGTGCGCAGAAGGTGCAAACCAAGACGTGCGGCTGTCACCACGGATACAAATATGGACTGGCGATTGTTTCCGCGGGTGTACGGTAGCGGCGCTGCCGTCGCCAGGCGTGGCGGCGCTGTCAACGGCGGCCATTTTTATCATAGAAGAGAGAGAGACGGCAAACTTTCGTCTCCGATTTACTGCAGAAAACGTTTGAGAAGCACTGCAACAAATGTAACACGTACTGAGCACAACCACTGCACAGAACTATCAACGTATCGAACTGGGATTGGTCTTATTTAATTCGAGATGGAAAAATATTTGCTAAGGCTCAATTCACAACTACTTTCGCGATACGTAGAATGTTAATGGACTATGGCTATTATTTCATGGTACAGGCTACTTTTGCTGCGTATCTTCGTAAGTTTCGTGGACAGAAAGTTGCGGTTTTCGCGAGACCGTACTATTTAACGGCATTAACAAAATGTTCACGGTCTCCTCGTATATCAACTACCAGATAAATTATCGCTAATGTGAAAACTGTCTCATATATAAATTTTTCGGTAGAACTGCGTTCCGCCTTCGGAATCGATATACGGGATCGGGTATGCATATTTACGGACCAGGAAATTCGTGTTTCCTTTACCTTTTCGGAAATATACAATAGTATGTGCACCTTCACAGAAACAAGGAAATATGTGCCAATTTTTAAAAAATAAATGCTAAATTTAGTAGTTGGCTTTGGCCACTGTTCTTGACTACAAAAATCAACGATTTTTGAATCGACTTAAAGTAGCTTTCATTTCTTTATTATTGTTGTTCATGGTCTTCGATATTATTATACCTATATTTATCGGTACATATGCTTTCTACTAAATGTAGTATATGGCTGCTTTAACACTTTTTTATATTTGCATTTTCCTTTTTTTCTTTTATTATTAATATTTTGGGCTACATTGATGCAGATATGGAAGTGTATTCAACACATGGGTTTTAGATTTTAAAAAATTGACAATAGGCAAGTTTTAATGGAATCTTTTAGAATTCTGAAATGGCGACTGGAATATCTAGAAAAAATTAGGATTTACAAAGAACAACAAAAGTCAATTATTTACTTGGATGAAACCTTGTTCGACACTTATGATACCCCGAAAAAGGGTTGGGTTGGCTCCACTGATAAGTGTAAAACAAACGCGCCATCAAAAAGAGGCAAAAGAATAAATATTTTGCATGCTGGCTCTAAAGATGGTTGGATTCCAAATGGACTTCCTCTGTCTGCGAAAAATATTAAAGATTCTTCTCTGGATTACCATGAAGACACCACCGCTGATTTATTTGAAAGCTGGTTTAAAAACAAACTAGTTTCAAACATTCCTCCGAATAGCGTCATGGTAATGGACAATGCAAGTTATCACAGTAGACAGTTGAGACTAAAACCCTTAACAGTGAATTTCCCCCTGTTAACTCCAATGTCTTCAAACTTTAACATCCCTCCACAAAGCTGGGCAAATTCTGTTAAACATATAGAAAAAGCAGAACAATCGTATATCCATATTGCAAATAACATAGAACAAATAACAATTAGAACAGTAATTTAAGTAGGTAATAAAAATATTTTGTAATTTTATTTTAGATTTAAACAGAAATACATACATAAATAAATGAATAAATATTGTTTAGTACCTTTCCTAACAAAACCCCAAATAATTAAATTCTAAGCAAAGTACAGACCTGTTCGGCCATATTTCATTTTTACAGCTTGCCCAGCTTAATTCGTACCAGTTAGTCACTTTCTTATATCTATGAACAGACTTTACGAGCCAGTTTCAGTCAAGGTCTGAAGAAGCCAACAGGATGATTGGCGAAGAGTTAGCAAAAACCGAGGCAGGAGGAATCCAGAAGTTTTGTAAAAAGTAATGGTCTAGTTTACAAATGAAAAAGAAAAATTGGAAATGATGTGATTTTCTCTCGCATCTTGGTTTGTGGAACATTTTGCACGATTTTCTATTGTTCCCATACAACCAGTACAAGATTTTGCCTTGCAAGTTACTTTTCCCTTGTTTCACCAAGAAATACTATTTATAGAAATTTTCTAGTTCATTTTTTGATCAATTCAAAACAAAATTAAAAAACAGGGTGTTCTCTTTAAAACAAAATATATATTTTATTTGTCACGCCCTTTCGAATTCTAACAATCCTTGCAAATTTTGTAATTTACCATGTTCTCGTAAGCATCGACCCGGACGTTACCATGGCAACCGAATCAACAACGTGAACGGCGATAATCATATTTAGCAATGGAGGACCTGAAAACGAAAAGCATCCACCATCAGACCGTCAAAATATGCGACGATCTGAAAAATTCGTCGTCGTACCAGCACATTTTCGCAGACATCCAAGTAAGTCGTTTCTTCTTACTCAAAATCCGAGATCGAAATACAGAACGTAGGAACGTAAGGTGCGATAACTTTGCATACTTTGTAATCATAATGAAATAAACCTTCTACGTAAATATTTCAGGTCGCCTTTTAGAAAAAATGAATTTAACATTTATAATGGCCCAATGCAAAATTATAGGTAAAATTCCCGGTTGTCCAATTCTATCCTCCCCTAAAACTGCACCTATTCTCTTTACAACGTTTCAACTGGTTAAGACGCTCTAGTAATTTCTTGGTCATATATATATTATATGGAGAATCCAAAAAAAAAACAAGAGCCACCAACTTCCTAACCTTACATCATAAAAATCCCTAGTTGCCTGCCCTCTGGCGTTACGCCGTGAAATTAACAAAAATAATATGCTATACAGGTTTAAACTTCGGCACGTTAGATGGCGCTATTCAAAAATTAAACACCTAAACAAATTGAAAATTCACGCCTGTTGTCAAAACTGTCACGGCTTGCAGAGGTTGGCATCCGACCCGACGGTAAAAGCGGACGACTTCAAAAATACCCTGCTGAAGTCAATGCAAGACAGCGGCCTCGAGGCCCGATTGAAGAACGACATCTACAGATGGTTGAAGATGAGAAGGAGGGAGAGCTATCCTCATGAGGCGTTCTTCAGGAAAGCGCAGATCCACTGGGACAAGAGGGTCCACAAGTCCCTCAATTCAATGTCCAACGAGCTCGGCGTGAGCCTGGCGAAACCGAGAGGCACCAACGAGAGAGAAGAGATAGCCACCAAATGGAACGAACTGAACAATTTCGAGGTTTGTGCGACACAATTTGCGGTATTCGGTCCGTCTCGAAGCGTATCGCACGGGTTTTTGGCGGCAGTTACCGAAATATCCTACAGAGGGCGTCGAACGTTTCACCCTATTGCGATGTTGCCAAGTTTTGTTTGATTTTGGTCAATTTATGCAATGCTTTTTGTCTCGCAGCAACTTGACTACACAACTGAAAAATGACGGTGCTTTTATCTTTATTTGTAATTTTTCTTCTTATTATTAATAATAATTGATAATAATAAATAATTTATAATGTTGTTGCCCTGATAACCGTCTAGGAAAGTCTACTTTACTCATAAAAAATGAAATACAAATCACCTTTCAACAATTTCAGTTTTCATTGAATCATTTGCCGCTGTTTGTAGAGAATCATCATATTGCAGGTGGATATACACAAGTACCGACCTGTCTACGCACCCAAAGATTTTTTGGAGGTGTTGTTAAACCTAAAGGGACCTTTCAAAGATAAACCAAAAAGGTAGGTTATTATATGCAGATGGTATTTCAAATTTAGAAAATTTCGTTCTCAATAAAATGACATAAAAATACAGTTCCTGGCACTGGACATTTTGGACATACTAAGAAAACTTTTTTTGAACCTTATTTAACGTTATCTTTGCGTTTTTTGCAGTAAACAGTGTCAAGTGTAATTCCAGAAAAATTAAGGAATTCCAAAAAAATAATATGTTTCATTTCAAAAGGGAAAAATCGAAAAAATCAAGTGTTATTCCAAGCAATTCCAATGTATTCTGAGGAATTAGGGAAAAAACAGGCGAAATTCCATGAAACCAGAATAAAGTCCTAAAAGATCGATTGATTCTAAAGAATTCCGAAAAAAATCCATGTTTTATTCTTTATAATGCCAAGGTAGTCCGAAAGAAACAAGTGTAATTCTAATCAATTCCAAGATATTCCAGCGAATTCCGTAAAAATGAGAAATTCGAAGAAATTCCCAAAAAAAAATCAATTCGTTCCAGGAAATTCAGAAAAAATCAAGTTTTATTTTAAACAAGTGTAATTCCAGAAAAAAACTTCCGCGTCTTTTGGTTGAAGACTTTTGCCGAGCGAGTTAATATTTTTCAGGAAAATATTGTTTTTCTAGGAGTAAAAATAACCCAAAAAAAAATCAAAATTTCTAAAAAAATACTTGGTGAAATTTGATTGTGCTTAATTTCTGGTGTTTAGGTGCGGGTATGCACTTATACATCTCGGCCAAATTTGAAGTCGATAGCTGCAAATTTGGATTATAGCACCGGATATCCGGAACACGCCGTAAAATATGTGAAACCCTGTAAAATAAATTGATAACTAAATCACAGCCTTCTAGTTATAGTTTTCAAATATCTGGCACATCCTGTCTGATAGACGAAATCGGAGACGATCTTTCGACACAATTTACAATACGGTTTAGACTAAATTATCAAATGTTTTATTGCTTTTCTTTTATGGTTAATAATTCATCAACGAAAACGGCAACTTTCAGCATCTTATATATTTTTTGCCCATTACCGACACCCCCTGGACATAATTGAAAAACTGCCAGAAGTAGAGGTTGTGGTCCTGGATCTCCCGCGTTTTCCGGTCCATGAATTTTTCCAATAGAGTAAATGGTTTTCCAGTAAATAAATCTTTTCTGAAACAATGCAGTACGCCGTCATAGTAAATGACGACATCGCGTCTAATTTAATCGATAAAATGCCTAAAATAAGTGTTAGAGCATAATTTTTTTCTGAAAACCGAAATAACCAAAAAAATTTAAAAAAATTAATACTTTGCGGCATTTGATTGTGTCCAACTTTAAAAGGGTAAGTGTGAGTAGGGACTTCTACCTCTCTGACAAATCTGAAGACGGTGGCTGCAAATTTGAGACGTCTACTAAATGTTTTAATATAGCACAGAATATCCAGAACACCCTGTGCAATACGTGAAAACTTTAAATACAGATGTTTCAGCTGTCCGTACAACTGACAACAGAATCACAGCCTTCTAGTTATGGTCAATTATCATTACAAAGGGAGCCGAATTTTCAGTTTTTTGCAAATTACCGACGCACCCTGTATATTTTTAAAAAATCATCAAAAATAAAGGTTCGATTTCATCGATTTTTCGAAAGCAATAAGGTTTCCGTTAAAAAAGAAGAAGAAGATTGTTTCATATTTCAAAAACGACCACCAAATCATTTTCTATTATGCCTGACACGATTGGTTCGTCGGTAGCGACTTACAGCAGTGGGAATTCGTCCAGATCCCTTTGAAAGTGAAAAATCTCGCCGAACTGGTAAAAACGGAAGCGTTTGTCGCTGTTTGGCCCCGCGACTAACGACTTTCCGATCGTTTTTAGAGAAATGTTTTCGTCGAGATCGCGAGAGGGGAGCCGATTCTGAACCCCAGCACTTTGTCGAGCTACGAAACGGAAAGGGTGATACTGGGCGAGAAAATCTTGTCGAAGAACTACGCGCCCTTGGCCCAGGAGTACCTGAAAAAGGGCTGTCCCCGTTCGCTGAGAGCGAAGCTATGGGTACTGTTGCTCGGTGCTGAAGTGAAACTCTCGGTACTTGCGAGAAGTGAAATTTCGGTTTCGATCTTATTGGAGTTGGTTGTAGCACAAGGTCCATTTCGAAAGTTTGAAGGAGAACGTGTTGCAATACGACTTGCTTACCGACAAACTAATCATCAAGGATATCAACCTCACCGCATCTAATGACGATCAATATTTCGTGTTCGAGGATGTTTTGTATCAGGTAAGAGAAGTTGGCATACTAAATTCGTAAATATGTCTTGTACAGCATCAGACACCGAAAAAAACAAAAAAAAAACGATTTCCATTCGAATCTTTTCAATTTTTAAGAAAAAACAAATAGGAAAATGTAACGATTTGTGGCGGCTTACGTAGATTTGAAATAGAAGTCGATCAATTATGTCCCAGAAGATTCTCTAGAAAAATCTTCCCTATATAGTTCGATACTAAAAAAGATCCTAAGTCACCTATGGAACGCGCCCTTATATCTGTCAGTCTTCTCTGTCAGAATACGTGAAAAATTCCTCGTCTTCACCTATTGCCAGCACCATTGGTAGTCCGGCATATTGAATATCTAACTCTTATATGAAAACCCTTTACAAGGAGAACTGAAGTCCCTATTCTAAATACAATAAAAGCCGAGAATCTGGAGCCAAAACGGGTTAATTATCACCGCTCATCGCGAATATATTTACGGGAACTTTTAAGAAGAGAGCCCTCTCACCTTCCAGAATTTGCTCTTCCCTCTAACAATTTCCACATCAAAGATAATAATCGCAAAATACACCTCACCACAACCTTCTAAAAAATGAAAAAATTGAGGAACATCGGCTATGCATCGAGGCAATATGATTCAAAAAAGATTTCAGTTGTCTTTCGGTTCCGGCGAAACAAACAAAAACATCATCTACGTATCTATACCACCAGAGGATGTTTATGTATGATATTTTCTAAATTGTCCATGAAAATTTCTGCAAGTAGTGGACTAAGCGGGTTTCCCATAATCAAACATTCCCAAACAAACTATTAAACTAACTTGTCTCTGCGTGAGAATATTCTCTATTATGTTTATTTTATAATTTACGTCTATCAAAGGTGATGTTGTGCTTTTCGAGGGATGGTGACGTCCTGAAAAGCCTAACGGCCCAGCCGGCTTTCATGCAGGTGGTGCTGAAGGGGAAACCGAACGTCCCCGAGAATACCACGGTGTTCCCTCCCAGTGGGGTGATCCCCTTTCACGGGTTCACCATGTACGGTGAGTTACCGTCCGGGGGAAACCTCCCGCAAATATCGTTTTGTTCGACACCGGGCCATATTTCTTATATCACATATCGGAAACTACACAATATTACAATATTTGACAGGACGGTACAGGCGATTTAAAAAGTTTTGCGACGAAATTAATCTATTTCTTGAATTGAAAAACTTCAGGGAATCAGAGAATCCAACAAACTTGCGGGGTTTATTAAAAGAAATACGAAAGAATCGTGAAGCACTCAAACTTGTACATATTAAACTCGAAAGGAAAAAATTAAAACTAAGCACAATCTTTCTCTCTCTTAAATAAGATATGCTTGTCTGGAACATATTTTTCTTGTAAAATAATGGAAATGCTACGTCGACGATACTTTTATTATTTGGCCTAGTAGATTTTCTTAGCCATTTAAATATGTTTTACAATTCGATAAGAAACTAATAATAACTTCCCGTTCTTAGATATTCTTATCAATGTAAAATCAGACCTAACATTTTTAAAAAAAAGTTTTAATTTTTGGAAAACTGTGTCTAGGAGGCATGACCATCATAAATACGATTTACCAGGTCATTTGACCATGTGAAATGTCTATTTTCAAATAATATTTTTTTAGGATAACCTAGTTTTTTCATATAGCACCCTAGTGGGAACTTTTTAAAACCGGTACTTTTTTTGCAACATTTTGACACCAAAATTTTCAAAATCCGTTAAAAAATAAACTCACAGGACGGAAAAAAAAAACAGATAAATAAATATATTTTTTAAAGCAGTATCTTTTGTTCTGTCGGTTAAACATTGCGTTATCTGACTCATCAGTGAACAAAATTCAGTTAGCGAAATCATTATTCTCGTCATGTTTATTTAACGGGCTATTACAATCTCCGAAGTCTTCTTACAAAGTCAGCTTCATAAAGATGTTGTAGTTTTTTTTTAATTCTACTCACAGATTTTCTTTTGATGTCTAATTCTAATGGCATTTCTCATGCCGACTTGATGAATAGAAGCAAAAAATGTTCTCTGCGAGCTTATTTTTTAATAGATTTTAACAATTTGGGTGTCAAAATGTTGCAAAAAAAAGTACATGTTTTAAAAGTTTTTGTTCCCACTATGGAGAAAACTAGGTTACCATAAAAAAACAAAAAAAAAATTTTTTGTTCGACTTTTGTTGACCGAGATGTGATTATAATTAGAGAACGCTTTTTTGCAGCCAAGCCCTGTTGCACCTAAATTTACAATAAATAAACCCGTCCTTGGCCTTTAATTTTCACCGTCGTCACATCATAAAAGCCGGTGATTATCGAAATATAAAATGTAAAAATGCAAATGTAAAAGACTGACGGCGACATACACCACAGTAAAAAAAATTACGTTCTAGCCGCGCCGTTTTGTTATCTGTTCGACAATCCCGTGGACCTCTACTACGTGTTCAGGGCCTTTTATTTAAGGTACTGGCACCGGCTGCACAGGGTCTGCTCTCACCCCCAAGGTGTCGTGTCCCTGTGCTTGCTGTACGAGAAGTTGCTGCAGTGTTACGAGCCGTCATTGTGGAACCACTTGAAAAAGTGCCGGATACATCCGTAAGCGATCATTTATAATTGAACTGAGGTGGCTTTTACTTGATGAATATCCATTTAACAAAATAAATAAGAACTCAGATTTTCACGAAATTATGTATATTCACATAACAATCGGTTCCTCTTTATCGAATGTAATATTTACAAACTACTTGCTACTATATATGTATCATTTTGTTAATCTCCACGGCTTCCAATAAATTTAATTTTCTACTTTTTGTGGCCGTGTGTAAAATATGAAAATTGCCGTCAAAAATGTGTTTAAGTGTGTAGCATAATTAGAATCTAGACTATTGTTTTTAAACGCTTTTTTATGTTCGTTAATGCGTTTCTCGAACAAACAACAAAATTAGTAAATATTTTAAAGTTCCACATAGATTTCAAAGCAAAATTTGCAAAAAAAATTCTTTTGAATTAATCAACAAAATTAAAGTTATCAAAATCCCCTCTAACGCAACACTATTGTCTTTTAATGTACAAAACTTATTTCCCAGTATTCCACCTACGGATGTGCTAGATTTAGTAGATTTATAATAACAATAATAATAATAATATGTCTTTATTCATGTTGACAGAATATTTACAAAAACTTATAAAGCAGGTGGCGGTATTCAACAGAGTTGCTCATACAACCACCAGATTAACCGAATAACATAAAATATCCAAAACACAGACTAAGAGAACAACAAAATAACCAAAGTATATCATTATAACGAGAGTAATGTACGATTGTCACAGATTACTGTGGTATAAGATTACTCGTTGATATGTCGGCGGACTGGGTTTTCGAAAGAAAACAGTAAAGTTAATTACTTCCACTTTAATATCACAAAAATACAGGTTATTTATATGACCACGGTACCGCACGTGAAAACGTTATTGCCTCTTGGACACATCGGCTGAGACTGACTTTTTGGTCGGCCCGCGGTGTTGCCAAATACACCTCACTCATGTTTAATAGAACCGTAGAAAGTAAATAACCTTTCACTGAAAATTGAGATCCTTTTAGATCGTGACTGGCTGCAACAACAATAATTATTTAGAAATTAAAGTAGAACAAAAACTCTAAAAATGGCAAGACACATTAAAGTAAAAAATTCTATAACTATTCTAAATATTGCTGTACGTGACCACCATTTTCCTGAACACATCTCACATACACTAAATAATATATAAATATAAATATTATTATGATAATTTACTAAAAAACAAGAAAGTTAAGGAGAAGTGTGTTTACTTTGTTTGTTGCCCATACGCGACTTTCAGGTTGCGAATCGTGATCAAGTGGATAATGAGGGCGTTCAGCGGCCATTTGCCGCCCGAGCAACTACTCACGCTCTGGGATATGATCTTGGCCTACGACTCTCTCGAGATCGTGCCATTGCTGGCCGTGGTGATCGTGATATTCCGCAAAGATAACCTGATGAAGGTGAACACGCTGCAAAACGCGGAAGCAGTGTTGGCAGACCTGTCGTCGATCTCGGTGGTGCCACTGCTGCAGATGGCGCTGATGAAAGAGTGTTGACGTTACGCAATGATTAAAAGTTTTTTTTTTTATTTGGTTTGGTTTATATTTAACGGATGGACGATCTCGCCGTGCATTTGTTCGGCGACAACGAAGGCTCCTAGTTGGCCGACGGTGCTGTTGTACTCGGTGTCTCCGGTTTTCACGTTCAAGATTTTATTAATTTTCTCTAAAAAAAAAAACGGTTGGTCATGGGATTTTGTAGTGACAGCGAGCGAACCACGTGCAAACTCAGTAATACCAACAGGAAACAAAAGTCAAAAAACATTAAATTATACCGTCAAAAACGGCAGTGAATAATGTAATTACCGCCATGATCAAACAAAAAAATCCCACATCCAGTATAGGTTTTACACACACAATAATAAAACCTTCTGCTCTAAAATTGCCCATTTCTTTTCGTTGGAATATATACTTGTCAAGGAGTAGCTATTTATAGACTGTGGTCGGCGAAATGAAATGACCACATAATCTTACATTCGGGATTCTGTTGAGAGCATTGCAATTGGTTCCATTGTGTGGATTTGGTGTTCTAAGTGTTTAGTGAGCGTTTTTTGTGTTCTACGCCGGTTGGAGGCGGGATGGCCCCGTTTTTTGCAATCGGTTAAATGTTTCGAAGAAAGAAGAATTTTCCATTAGTTTGTTGATAGATTCGTCCAGTAGCTTTGAATTAAGGGACGCTTCAAGATATAAAGAAAATGTTGAACTGTTGTTATAAGTCGCGGAATGATCTTAGCACTCTTGGCCAATATATCTAAATAAGAAGAGAATTAAATTTATGAACAGGTGCGTAACGGATTTCTAATAGATTGTTACTTTTTCTCCAGTTTCATTGTTCTGCCCACAGGATGTTGTTATAATACTTGTAACTGAAAGATCTCTCAACTAAAGCCATGGCCGATAGCAGGCACAATTAGCTTGTGAGTATATTTAGCAAGAACTGACAGCTTTGAGTGAAATTTAGCCAACCAGAATTTTTCAAGACTATCTGATAAGTGATCAAGCTTAAGGTGTACATAAATTTTGGAGCCCTTTTTATCTATATCAATTACAGCTGACCAGCAAATCAGACCGCACTAACCGAGTTGAGAGAGTATAAAACTACAGCGAAGCAGCTTTATTTAAAATTTATGGTAGATACTAGTTATGAAGCACTGATCTTATGAACTAGAAGAAATTTTAAATGGAATACCCTGTATCACTATGCTGATTTAGAAGGAAGTATTCAAATATCTATAGCTTAAACAAAACGTTTCGGATTTTTTGATTTTCATCTTCATTATTTAAGCCAATTTATCCAATTCTCTTTGCGTATAAGAAAAAGATGCCTTTGTCGTTTATTTATTTTTGAAAATTTGCACTTTTAAATTTAAAAATCATACAAAGCTGCCACACTTCGCACATCATCAGTTTCCCATTTTTTTCCAATTCAAACCCCCTCCCGTATATTATGCTATGTCTACTTAAACCACTGAACGCACGGTTACTAGAAATAATAAATACCTTTTACGTTGCATTCATCCACTTGTTACACTTTGTTTATGTTTCTTAGGAAAGAGAAAATAGATGCCGTAAAATGTTATTTATTAAGTAATAAAAGAAAAAAGATTTTACAAAATCTACCTTTTTGGCAAGACAATAAATTTATTATTCTTTTGGACGCTCCTTCTTGTCTTTCCTTTTTGTTAACTTTGTATTCCCAGTCATCAATTCGTTTTTCATTGCTTCACCGGCAATCGTTTATTTCTAAAGTATCATTTGTCTTTTTTTCCTCGATCCTTTTTTGTAACGGTGTCTTTGTAGTTATTTTTTTCAAAAGCATTGCTTAAAGTTTTTAGGGTGTAATTCTCGCCATTATCCAGACCTACGAGTTCGGTAGCAAAATCTTCATTTTCGCTTAAATTGGATGCAATATTTTTCAGAAACATTAATAGGCCTGAAATCATTAATCTAAAACGGTGCCTTTGTCGTCAAACTTTGCTTAGTATTTCTTGACCTTCTTGATTCTTGACAATATCACCATTAAGCCTAATATTCACACCGACTTAACTAAACTTAATCTATCTGTTTTAGCGGGCAATTTTATATTTCGTATTTACAAACAAAATAAAACAAGGTTATAAAATGTTTTTGAATTAATTTACTTACCTGAACTATAAGAAAACCAACCACGATTATTGTGATTTACGCAAAAATCTGTTTCAACGGTAAAAATTTTGAGTGGAACTTAGGCAAAATTAAATTATTTTAAAGCGCCATCTATAAAATTAAAGCGAAACTATTTGGGTGGTTTATAAGTTCGAACGCACTTAACGAGATGGTACAAAAATCTAATTTTAATAAAAAAAATTATAGATATCGAACCGACGTATTGCTTAAAGTTTTACGCTTACCGTTTTGCCCAAGATTGTCAGGGTGTCTTATACCCGCAGATCGCGAAATGGTCGGTTCGCTCCAAAACGGCGACCGATAATCGTACTTCTGCGTGGTTAACGGGATTTCCCAACCTTCCGGCAAAGCGATTTTTTCCTTATCGGTTTGGAGAAGTTTTCTTTTTACGTCGGCTTCTACAAATGAAACGCTCAGTTTGCAACAAATTTAAAAGGATCAAAGATACGTAACCTATGTCGCAATAGTCGACCTGGTAGAGCGATTTTCCGTTCAAAAGGCGATCTCCCTTAATTATTATGTGATCCAAGGACTCGTCGAAATAAAGCCGAGCGACCTTCGCGTTTGCGCTTGTCATCTGTATTACACAGAATTTGAAGTTATGTTTCGTTTCTTCGCAACGCGACAGTTTACGTAAGCAATGAAGGAGAGCATTTAACCCAGAAATTGTAGAAAGTATGCAATAATAAAATTCACATCGTTTTATTTTTCTATTTTATCTAATTTTCAAAGATGGCATTAGCGAGATACTTTTACCCTGGCAAAGAAATTAGGGATAAAAAAACTGCCCGTTTTTTAATGACAATGGTTTTTTAATCACAACAAAAGCATATATTATACGACAAAAACAATGTGTTTATAAAAAGTATATTAGTATTGCTGCCTATCTAGGAAATGATAATTGACTATTTAACTGTATGTAACAAATACATAAACTTAAGTTTAACCGTTTCTCGATGGGAGATGATAATAAAATGTCAGTAACATTGACAGGGATCGTTGATTAACGCCATCATATTCTTTGTGTATTTTAAAATTTTATTTCCCGTAAGTCAGGGTTATTTCCCGGATTTTTTATAATGATTTAGAACTCTCTCGTGTTAAGTAACAGAGCATACCTTTTCCAAAAAATCATCGGCATCATTCAGGTGGAGACAATTTTTGAAACCTTCACAGACCGGATCTTTAAATTCTTGCTTCGCCAAGTATTTGTTGCTCGTGTTACTGCAAATCCACTTGGATTAATAATAAAATTACTTTCCTTATATAAGAGCGTGAATATGTCACCCTGTCGATTTGAATTTCACGAAGTCTTTGTTGTACGTCGTCAAATAGGGTCCGAATTTCAATCGGTCCGCTGCCGCTTTTTTGGTATTCATTGCATTGGATTCGTCAGAAGCATAACGTTGTCTGTCTTGAATGACAGATTGAAGTAAAGCACACCCTGCTTTACTTCCTCTACCTTTATCTATAGGTAAAATTATTTTTTGTTATTTTATTGTAAAATACATTGATTGTTTGTATTGCGTATTATCGATTTGTGGATTCCGATCAATTTTTTTTTCACGGACAGAAACAACAATTTGACAATTCCATTCCCTATTCTGAGCAGCAGTCGTTCGCAATTAGGACAGGGTTCGTCATTCTGAGATTGTTGTTACCAACGCAACTGCTATGCTCCCACTTTCAATTTGTCATTCAATTTATAGATGGGAGATTTTATAAAACGTTTTTCAAATGTTTCGGTTGCCTGAAGTCGTACAATAGGGACTTGTTTTGATTAAAAGCTAGTGGAATAATGGGATGCTGTTATAGTTTATTCTGTAAAGACGATAGTTCCTCGCAGGTAGAGTTTTTGTTTTTATTTCCTTATGTTATATAGGTCTTTGTTGGTTGTAGCAAGGCGACCCACACGAAAGGACTCATTTATTAGTAGATCCCGTTTCTAACAACACCAACCTTCAAAGGGTGAACAGGTACCGTTAAAACATATTGCATCAAATTAACAATGGAGTACATTCCATAATTGCAGTGAGGATGTTATTAGCGGCAACAGTAACGCCCTACCGAAGAAGACTGACGAACAATCGGCTTTAAACAGGATACTGCAGGAGGCGGCCACGTAACGTTAACGTTTTCGACCATCTTAAGTCGTTTCACCGTGTTTGCTTTCAGGAACGTGATAGACGTAGCGGCCATCGACTCGCATAACTTGCAGCAACACGAGTACCTGGAGAGGATTAAAATGTACAAGGTCAGGGTGCAGCAGGTCCTGTCGGGAAACAGGACGAAGTTTACTAACAAACCGAAAATCGCCGTTCTGCAAGACATCGCGAACCCTGAACTAGTGCTATCGGCGGATTTGTTGGGGCTGGACGATATAACTTTGGTAGGTTGATCGATGAGGTGGGTTATTTGGTAAATTTATGACCGTTTTCAGATCACTTCTTCGGTTGTAGCCGCCGCGACGACTATTAGTGACATAAAAGTGGACCATAAAGAAGATTTAGTTGTTCCATTCGGACTTGGGCTCAACTGTTGATATTTAACCTTGTATATACATACTTTTGTTGATTTACTGTCTCCGAGAGATCTATTATGTTCGATATCCGTGTTAACTGTATTTGTGAAGAATATTTCGAGGTGTTGTTAACGTTCGTGCGGGAAAAGATTTTCGTAATGATATACTCTTTAATTAAGATTCTATTATCTTTAGGCTCTAAAGATTGTAAAAAGTTTTTTAATACGCGTTATTAGCACTTACGATGTGTAAATAAAATATAGTAAAAGTAAATCCTACGACGTTCAGGGCGTTCAAAATAAATGTTCCCATCCCTTTAACTCAGAAACTCTGAACGATAGAAAAAAAGTTACTAAAAAAGATTCCTAGTTTCATTTAGATTTTTTAATTTGTCATATATACCGGGTGTTCCGATCGTCTGGGCTTAATACCAGTTTTTTTCTAATTAATAATAAACATCCTGTATATTATTGCATTTTTAAATTTAACCGTTTTTTACAATTCATAATTACAATTTTTCCAACGGAACTTTCATTGTTTAATAAAAATTAAATTATAAAAAAACAAAACGTCAATTTTTTCAAATGAATACCCCATATTTTTATAACCATCTGATTTGGCATTGTTGTCTATTCAGAAACAAGTATTTGACGTACTGGGAATGGGCTAGTGCCCTTCGATGGTTGGCCCGTCGACTATTGGACATGCATAATTGCTGAAAAAGAAACGGCCACCGTCTCTCTCCCAGTCGATTCGGCTAATAGAAAGAACGTAAGATACCAAAAAAAAATAAACGAAGAGGGGTAACGACTTTTTTTTAAATAATCCCATTTGGGCGAATGATCCTGGTAGTCGTGCCCAACAGCTATCTGTGAAACGCATCATTGAATTGAATTGAAATAATCCCATCACGAACCAATTAAGCAATAATTCCGCTGTTTGTTATTGATTGACCATGATACGCCATGCACCCAAAAAAATTGAATTACGAACGAAATTCAATTTCTAAATCGAAAAAAAAACAAACCACAAAACTCAAGTGATTGAAGAGATAGTGACAATAATTTTTCAGTTTATATCTATGCCGCTACGGGGCGTTAAAGTCCGATAAAAAATGCATTTTCCTAAATCACACCATAATCTTGATATTGATGAAAGTGGCTATTTTATCGGCCCATAACATTAGTTTAACTCAGTGTATTTGAACAAATTAAAACTCTACGATAAAGAGAAACCTTGCTTATTCAGAAAAAAATACATGTAACAAGCTGGTTCTCGATGCTCCCGCTAGATGACGCCAATAAAAATGAAACAATATTTCAACAATAATTGTTTCTGTTAATCCATTCAGAGAGGAGAGAGTATAGACGTTTTAATACCATTATTGAAAAATACGTATATGGGAGAGTAAGAAGAGATACAGCTTGGCAACAATCAACTTCAGTCAAACATTTACTGCCTTCTTTTGTCTGACGGCCTCGACTAGCCCCCAAATCCGCTTTCTTCAAAATTAAAAACACACACTGAGGGTATTTTATTCTTGTTTTCTCGCCTGTAAAATCAAGCTAGTGAGCATTCCTCGGCTCCAGAGAGAAACTCAACTTATACTGCAATCTCCCATTACATCCTAAAACTAAAAAATTGTTTTATACATTTTCACATTCAGTGGGCTGTGAGAATATGACGGAAGCGTCGGAAAATAGACAAATTTTTATTTGACGCAATGTAAATGTGGAAATATGCATAACAATGTGTTACGTTATTTTAAATGTTAATAAAGGCTCTTTTGGCAATAACTCTTGAACACGTGAAGTTATCGATATGCGGTTCGAAGCATTTCCTTTGCCAATTTGAATGCTGATTAAATAATGGCATCAATCGATGTGAAATTTTGGAGAAACATTTAAAAATGTTTGAATTTGCGCCATCTAGTGGGCGCAGCGGAATTCGCTGTTTTTTTCTGAATAAGTAAGGTTTAGCTAATGTGACTTGCAATTTAATCAGACATGATTGATGTCAGCATTTCTGAATTCAGCATGTTGAGAAAGCCCCACACTTTGAATTTTATCGTTCCAGCTTCGGCCATTTTTGCATAGGGCCCAAGGGAGTTATTAAATGTACGGCATTATTAAAATAAAAGATTTATTAAACAATTTTACACAGCAACACCATTAACAGTAGTAACGTTCTGCTTTATGGGGGCCGCTTCTATGGGAGCGGGCCTATCGGGTACCGGCGCCCTAGAATTTCCATCGTGGAAAAAGTACAACATAAATCCAGCGGTCAGAGCCACGTGGCAAGCTATTATACCCAACACTAGCAAAAATTTACGTTTCGACAGTCTCAAAGCCGGCATCAGAGTTAACAGCAACACCGAACCGGAAATAAAGGCTGCGATTAAGGCCACCAGCCACTGCAACAAGTCTATCTGGATCGACCACAGAACACTGGCGGGAACGAATATAAACAGGGAGTATCCGTATATACAAATAAGTTCCAACATGCCGGGCGTCACCGTGTCCCCCAAACCCTCGATATCGACAACCTCGGTGGTATATTTCAATAAACCCCAGAGGGTCGACGGGATCACTGTCACGTACAAGCAGATGGTGGTTGCAGCGTAGGATACTAAGTGAAAGTTGTATTTCCAATGGAAATTGGGACCGCGGTGGTGCAAATAGCTGACCACGTTCCCGCTGATCGCTAACGTAAATATTAGAGTGACAGATATCCAAAACGGACCGTACAAATCGGGTTTTGTTCTCAAGTGATGCTTTAAAGAGTTGTCCCATTTGGGTGTGATGGACGCCAGTATGCGCTCCAATACGTCGCTGGTGTCCACATCGAAGAACTTCTGGTAATATCGCATATTCCAAAAAGAGACCGTCTCTGGAATTTCTACAACCAAACCTACCCTGTAACCCACTACCTCGAGTCACCCAATACAATTACCTTCTGCCTTCTGTTCCATAGGACCGTCCGCATGGCTGTGACTGATATTTGAAAATTGCTGCATGTTTTCTTGGGTCGGCTTCAGATTACCTGCCACGTCTATTTGAGAAATTGGTACGGGAGTGGTTGTATCACTGATAGTATGTACTGTGGGATAATCCTGGAACGAGAGCAGGTCGTCGGTGGGAACTTCCTGTAGATTAGCCATTTTAATTAACTTGCTCTTCGCTGTTCATAGACAATGAATGTATACGACTTCCATTAAACTTGTGTGGACGGATCACAATCCGAAACAAATAAACAAACCCACCAAGTTATATTTATTTGACAATACCATAGTATCGAATCTTGTAAGCTACGAAGCACTGCAATGGGCGAATGACCACCGTAATTGGCCTAATTGATCGTGAAACGATGTTTGAAGAAGAAATGGTCTGTGACTTTTTTTTTATTTATACTCCCATTTTTTTTCACGCACACAACACCCAATGCTCCCGGTGGGAATCGAATCCACAACCTCAAGTCGAGTTGGCAGGTTTAACACCTGACCAGTCTGTGACTTGGAATACTCTTCTTGCTATATAAATTTACTGGACTAGGCAAATCTATAGGCTAATCTGTTCATTAACGCTATTTTTAAAATTTAACAACCTCTTTGTGTCTCCATATTTTAATTTGAGCATTAATTTTGAACGATGCATGTATTTTTAACAAGATTTTTTTTTACGGTAGGCACGATTCAATGTTTTTGTTTAGAATGGCCTTAATTATTTTGGTGGAATTTTGTTTTTAAAGGTTGTTTTCAATTTTGATACAAAACAAGAATGTTTTCACCGCACATGTAATAACCTGTGGGTGTATAAGGAAAAGCGAGAATCTCAATACTAGAAACGAGAGAAATGAGCTTGTTTGTTTAGGGATAATTTAGGTCACATTTAAATAAATTGTTAATTGACGTGTTTCATAATAGTTTTTAATTTTCGAACCAGACTAACCAGACTCATTAACATTTTATGCAAGAAATGGATTTTTTGTACTGTTATTATATTTTGATTTTACATTTGAACCGAAACTACTGCAAAAAGGTCACTCCAAGCCCCACCCGGTGTCAAACGTCAGGTGTCAAAAATATTTTATATTTATATATTTATTCATTAAAATTCGTGGACACAAATTTAAACGCATCACAGACCACATCGACAGAGAGAATCCTTTATTTTCGAAATGTCTTATTGTTTTCGGTCGGCCGATTTAAGAATATCGCAGGCGACTCTTCCGAAAACATTTTGGTAAACGGTTAATGGAGTGTGCATGAGTGACGCTTTGATGTAGCCGTGAACTGTAAAATAAGACATTAGACGTTTTCGCAATTTTGTATTTATCGATACCGACTTCGCCTTGAGCCCGCAAGCGGCGGCAGTACTTTTTTTGCTCTTCTGGCGTACAACTCCGTGCAGGATAGCAACAATTGGTTTTCTAAATCTTGTGCGACTTCTTCTTTATCAGCTGAACCTACGGTTTAAAACGTGTCACGGCAAAATCATAGAAAATTCTTGTACTCACCGGTTTTCCGACCAAAGCTGATTTGGTAATTCGTTCTCATGCGTTTTAAATAAAGGTCGTGCACCGTTGTTTTGGCTATTTCCAAATTGGCCTACAATTTACACATCTTGGTCCACAGAATATACTTCAAGGATATTGCAATCCCCCGTACAACCGACAAAACAATATGTATTTTGCCGGTTGATTCTCTGAACTGCATTAAACCGGTAACAATTTTGTTAAGTTAAAAATACTGTTAAAAATATTCACAGAATAAATCGACATCACGTCGCACCCTCTAGCGGCTTCGGCATAAACATAACAAAAATACGAACAAGGATAATTAGTTTCTGCAGTGCCGCTAGATGACTCCACAAACATCTGGCAATATCACTTAAACTCTACGTAAAACGGTACTTTCTTATGAATTTTACCTCGTCTAATTTTTTGTCGTCCAAAAGCCAGAGATCGCCATTGTAGTCTGCAAAGTTCGACTTATCCGGATTAATTCTGCAACGGTTGTGTGCAACGTAGACGTTTACGTTTAATTTTTTTAACTCTTACGGCTGTGTTGGCTTTTGGAGGTTCCATCGATAGTGGTCTTTGTTGGTGGTGATGAAGGCTCGGGCCATAAATTATAAACCAAGCAACACTTTCGCTCGGTCCGTCACGCGTATGACATTTTGATCGACCGGGTGTTCTATTTTTTACTAACAAGATCGACGGGAGGTTAGTGATTCATTACCATTTTAATTGCAATTAAACGCACGGTAATTAGATAATATAATATTTATTTATGACCTAGCGGCAATTAAATGTGATACCGGCGCGGATTTAAGATCAGATCGTTATCGCTTCTCTATGTACAATTCGAAACTAATCAAAATGCACCTACAAAACTATTTGGTTAGGAACTTTTAAAAGGCGGATTTGTGAAAGTTTTCCTATAAAAACAGACTAGTTGCAAGAGCGCGAAGTATTTGATGCTCGGCGGGAGAGTATGCTGAGTCTAAGTAGAATTTGCAGTGCTCTGGTGTTGTCAACGGTGAGTGTGACATTTAACTTGACCTTGAAACCTCACGTCATTAAGTTCGGTTTCTTGATGCGGGAGAACCGTAAAACTTGGTTAGTGGTCTTCCATCGGTTCAGTATTGCATCTATGACCATCGATCTAAAATATTTTCAACGCTGCGACGTTGCCGGCTCCTTTAAAAAGTAGCACCAACAGTGAAATTTTAAAATTTTTATTGCTACGACACTGGAGCCAGTAGGAAGTTAAAATTTTGGACGTAGCTTAGGGAAAGTACTGGACATAATTTTTAATATGGAAATCGGTTCCATATCATAGAGGATTGGATTGTTTAGATAAGAATTTTCGTAAGTGTTGTGTGAATCATACATTTGTTTGGCGAGTTCCATGATCGCACAGGAAAAGGCTGAATACTGGTTTAGTGCAAATAAATTACTTTTAAATAATGATAAAAACAGAGGGAGTGTTTTTTTCCATGCCAAATTTAAGTACAGTTAATTTTAATGAAATAAATATCAGACTTCTTGGCGTCTATGTTGACCCAAAACTTCAGAGGGTCTCCCATATAGATTTCGTTGCTCAGAAACTGACCAGAAATTTGTAATTGCTTCGACGCTTGACAGAAAATGTCTCTTGGTGTGCACATTTTGCACTTTTTCATTCACACCTCCTATATGCGATCTTAATATGGGGCCAAGCTGCTAGCACTCACCGTTTGTTCCGATTACAAAGACTTGCAAATTCTTACATTGCTCTCTTAGAAAATTATTTATAAAGAAAAATCCGCATCTATTTACCACTTATAAGGAATTGCATAACCATCAAATCAGAGGTCGGGACAATGCGGTTATTACCTACTGCCGCTTAGGGTCCAAATTATAGGCCAGCATTTTTATTCTTTTGATGAATATTTGTATTTCAATTATAATGTAAAGTCTGTTCATAGATATAAGGAAGTTATTAACTGATACGAATTAAGAATGAAATATGACCGACCAGGTCCGTACTTTGCTTAGAATTTAACTATTTGGGGTATTGTTAGGAAAGATACTAAACAATATTTATTTATTTATGTATGCATTTATGTTTAAATCTAAAATATAATTACAAATTATTTTGATTACCTACTTAAATTACTTAAAATTATTCACATAATATATCAGTATCATTATCGCTATCATCGCCTGTTCTAATTATTATTTGTTCTATATTATTTGCAATAATTGGCCCAACTTTGTGGAGAGATATTAAAAACTGCGGTTTCTATAAGTTTGAGGACATTGGAGTTAACACGGGGAAAAACATTGTTACGACAAATGGCAGATTTCAGTTGGTGCCAAACATGTTCAATGGGATTAAATATACAGTGGTAAGGTGGAAGCCTTAAAACTGTACGCCCTAGATTTTTTGCATAATTATCACAGACGTATTCCTTTTGTAGGTTCAAGCTTTGTAGAACCTCAATTAATTGCTTTTTGGTATAATCTTCGTGAAAATAAATGTCGTTATTATACATGTAGTTTTGGATCGTTGCTTTTGTGTCACATGAGGAAGGGGTTTTAGTCAACTGTCTACCGTGATAACTTGCATTGTCAATTACAATTACGCTACGAGGAGGAATGTTTGGAACTAGTTTGTTTCTAAACCAACTTTCAAATAAATCAGCGATGGTGTCTTCATGGTAATCCAGAGAAGAATCTTTAATATTTACCATCTTTGGAGCCAGCATGCTTTTACCTCTTTTTGATGGCCCGTTTGTTTTACACTTTCAGTTGAGTCAACCCAACCGTTTTCCGGGGAATCATAAGTGTCGAACCAGGTTTCGTCCAAGTAAATAATTGGCCTTTGTTGTTCTCTGTAGATCCTAATTTTTTCTAGATATTCCAATCGCCATTTCCGAATTTTAAAAGATTCCATTGCCTTTTGTCATTTTTTAAAAATCTAAAACCCATGTGTTGAATACACTTCCATAAGGTAGTTCTGCCACATTTAACACCGGTTTCACCTTTTTCAAGCCTCCTAATTAAGATATCTAATGTGGGCACGCTTTGTTGCTCGTATAACTGGGAAATTTTACGCCGTATTATATCTTGATCACTTTCATCTACACTCGAGAAAATGTCAGCATCGCTTCCTTTTTTCCTCGATTATTCACAATTTTCTATGTTGATGTTGAAATTTTTGCTCAATGTGGCCGTTCCTTCTAAAGATGCTTGCTTGCTGGCACCACGTTCAATGATAGTCAAATAAACATTCTTTATAACTTCTTTAGTCTCAATAGAATAGTGTTTTCTACATTTGGGCAGGAGCATCTCCTGAGAAATACTAGACACGCACATATTTTGCTTAATTCGCACACGATTCAACACACGCTGTATTACACACGAAATAATAATGATTACTAATAAACTTAAACTAAGTAGTATACCAAACCAAAGAATATTAAACACAGGTAGGTATAAAATTATTTTCTATTACGGAATTTAAATTCCGAAACTTTAGGTAATAATCTGGTTGCATTGTATGTTAATGACCACCCTTGGATAATCCCATTCAAAACCGATTCGTCACTTTCTTATATCTATGAATAGACCATACAGAGTAAAATGGGGGTCAGTTTCAATCAAGCTCTGAAGAAGTCAACAGGATGATTGGCGAAACGTCAGCAAGTTCGACTCAGCAAAAACTGACGCAGGAGGAATCCAGAAGTTCTGTCAAAAGTATTACAGTAGCCTGTGGAAGTTTCTTTGAAAAATTTCAAACAACGTTACGAGTATTTTTGTTTCAGATTACGTTGACCATGATTCGCAACGACAAAATAGAATGCTACCACGTAAAATCGCCTTTGCAAAGCCAGCGGGTTAAAAAACCTCAACTTCACTCCGGCGAAAGCGCCATCAAGCGAGTAGTCTCCAATCGACACTTTCCGGATTTTAGACGTCACGCGTTTGCCACCAAAAACTGCGGAAACTATTCCAAAATCGCCACGGACAATTGGCAAAACGCACTGAGTACCTTTGATAAAGGAAACGCTAACGTCATGCAAGTCATCAGGCTGCCAGCTTACGAAATTTACTTGCACAGTGCCCATAGTCCTGTCTTGTATGCGCCCGTTCGGTGGACTACCGAAAACCAAGTCCACAAATCGAATTCGGTGCCTTTTGTTCACAATAAAGAAGCTAGATTCGGCAAATACCCCTTTCCCAAGCCTTTTGGCTTTGACAGTGTTCACTCGAAGGACGAGGTCTTCAATACAGATTCAAAAAGACACAATCTTCAAAGGTATAGTATTTTATACTGCTTATAAGGTGCTCATATGAATGACTTTTTAATGAAAATACAACTACAAAATTATTTTCCAAAATGGAATGTTACACCAACCTACAACCACGTTCATAAAACATTTGAATAAATAAGAATAAAATGATCCACAAATCTCATCAAAAATCGTCTGCAAGAGCAAAGGTTTATCATTACCTGTTGTTTACCTCATATTTATAGAAAACAAATTTTCAATATTCCCACAATCATTACATCAGAAATTAACTTTTTTCCATCACATGCAAAGTATGTTAAGGATTCTAGCGAAGATTTCCCCCTTCTTTTCAATCCCTAAGTAAATTGATATTCTAAAATTTATGCTTAAAATATTCAAGCTGGAAACCAAAGCAATAAAAACACCAACAGCAACAGACCATAGAACTGAGTAAGATGGTGTAACATTGTTACCAATGTTAAGCTTGAGCACCAAATTTAGTTATAGGTAATTGGTCAATTATTATATTTTTTGCTTTTGCAGGACCAGTGCGTCGCTTCAGGGCGCATTGCCAGATTTAAGTTTATATTACGCGAAGAAAAGAGAAATAGACGGCACAAACTACAACGTGAAAAGAAACTACGAAGAGAGAAGATCACGTGCAAAACTGCTGACGCACGAGATTACGACACACACGCCCCCTATCCCAAAAAAGATAAATTTTTTCTTGCGAATTAGAAAACGGAGTCGATAATAATATTGATAATTTTAAAATAATAAATAATAGTAATAATAAAGCAAATAATTTTAAAAACTTCTTACTATTGGAAATGAAATATCGTTGCAGTTCGGAAGCTGGGAGGAATCGAAACGCTTTATTTATTCTAGGGTCGCCGTCTGTCAACTGTCAGAATTTATCTCTGGCTGTGGTGAATAGGGGGGCAACGTAAACCCAAAGGCGCTAGATACTTTTGTAGCCATTAATATTTAAGTGCTTAAAAATCATAAATTATTTATTATTGTCATTATTTGTTATAAAATTTTTAGTAAAAAACGAATTTTTATTTAATAAAACGCAGAGAAAGGTAAAATCAAAACATAATGTTTATAGAATACATTTTTCTTTTACTATTAGATGACCACGAGTGGTTGCGAAATACAACGCCATTTTCCTTTTATTGTTTTATTTGAACGTGGGAAACAATGATGTATATAATTATACAAATACAAAGGTACGATCATTTGCGAGAATTATTTTTTGTAGACTTTTAATTTATTTATTAGAAATTAGTAAATAAACATCTATTTATTTACTTTATTTATTTACCGATCGCACCCCGTAATCGCGAAGTTTATTTCGAAAGCGAACACTCGACAGTTTTTCTATCAACTAAACATTTTGCAAGCCTGTTGTTATGGTCGGTAGTTTATTGTTGATATGGACCTCACCAAGCCGTGTCAGGTGTTTCTGCTGGGTTTGTTTTGCCTAACGACACACGCGATATACGACGAAGGTAAGCGCTTTCATTTAAAAACAAACGGAAACCAGTGAGTCGCGAGAAATTATCAATAGTACGATTGACAGATATTCTAAAATATAGGTTATGTCCTAATTTCTTGTTCGTTCGGATTGACCTAGATTTTTTTAAATAGTTAGTATATTAAATTTAAAATTATTATTAAAATTTTACGCGTCCCAAGTCAAACTGTTTCAGAACCTTGCGTTGAAAAAGACCAACCATTTTACTTTTTTACTTCTTTCTCTTTTATATGTACAACCAATAACGTGTGTCATTTTCGTAAAACATTACCAACCTAGCCAAATTTTTAACCTTGACAAACAAAAGTCACTATTAGGTACTAAATCACACTTTCCGTACCTTGTATTTGGACGCAAACATTCCCTACCGATAGCGTCAATCATCCCGTATAAACAAGAAATTTCCAAACAAATGCGTGAAACTTAAGGTTATTCCTCGTTTAAAATAAATGGTAGTTTCTTATAAAAACCAACCATTATATATCATCTTGCAATTTTTTATCTTTTGAAACGAAAATGTACAGCGCAATAAAATATTACGTATGTATTGTTATTATAAAAACACACTATTTGCTTTTTTTTTAATTTTATCCTTTCAAAACAATACCAAACAAAATATTTTCCCTATTTGGGTTTTGCGGTTGCGTGGATGGTCAACAGGGCTGCAACTATTTGCACATTGAAATTTGTGCGAAACCCTGATATTTCTGGTTAAAAGAATAATACCGGGGATAGGCAACTTATATACCTATTAAATCAAAAAGTAAAACGATGCTTCTTAGATCCATGGATGAGATGTCGGTTACAACTTGGGTGGTCTCGGGTTCAAACCCGGTTTGCAATTAATTTTTTTTCTCTTTAAATATTTAAGTCTATTATATTCTTATCTCGAGACCAAGTAACACTGGTCTACAGGATGATAAAAAGGCTGTTCTCTTTGCCAGATTTCGAAATAGAGTGCTCTGGAAAGACATTTTCAAATGTCACGCTGACCGCTTACTATCCCGACTACGCTGATCAGGACAAGGAATACGGATATCAAGATAAACGCGGCAAAAAACTTCGTACTTTACAGGTAACTTTTTCTATGCACTGCAAACACTACAACTTTTCCAGAGGATGGATTTTCGACACAAAAACACGAAAAATTACACCGAGCACCGCAAATGAAAACATTGGCACAGACCGTTTGCATTCTGTGACAATAGCCACAAAAATCACGACAATATCCCAACTCACTCAGTTGGGCGGTAACGTAATGCGAAAAATCATTCCCATCTGTATTAATTTTTTATCGTAGAAGAGTCACTATATTATCCAATAGCAGTATTTTTATTTGTAATGGGCCGCGTTTTCATCTACAAATATGCCGATAATACAAGAACTTTTAAAACTAACGTAAGAAAATGATGGGAGAGAATGCTTCTTCTTTTTTTCCTTGATTTTATTGGGCAATGTAGTATGGACACTCGCCCATCGCTGAATGCAAATCAAACTTTTCACCAATAAGACTTTACTATTTTCAACGCCCAACATCACATTCGATTCGACAGCTCTCTGTTTAGATGTGCCTTTTTTTGAGCGTTATTTAAATATTCAATAGAAGAACGAGTTAAGTGCGTGGAGATCGTCTTTTAAAGAAATGTTGCAATTTGCAGGTTAGCTTGTTCAATTTGAGTGTATTTTACCGTATTTGCGGAATCTCTATAACTAATGGCGAACTCAGCGTATTATATAAACTAACGAAAAATATTGCAGGACTATTTGGACGACAGAGCCGATTACGTCACTTTGAGTATGGATGAAAAACTGGGGGTGCCTTACGGCACCGAAGTCTGCATCCCGGAGCTAAACAGGCATTTCGGGCACAGGGTAAGGTTGGAGGTACGGGACTCCTCTTATGACCTGTACGGAGAGGGCTACTCCCGAGCTGACATTTGCGTCCGGAGCGAAATCGACAGTTACGACGAATCCGTCAACAAAGTTGTCACCTTAATATTTACATGACCCAATGATAAATTTATAAGGATAATTAATAAACGAGGCGTACTTCCCCGAGGTTTTCATATGCTTTATCGGATCTAAGTCAACACTTCCTGTAGGCATGCCAGTATTCTATAAATATTCTGGCATAAAAATAAAATTGCCCCTTGCAAACCAAGCAGAGGTTAACCTGGCCTGGTTTGCAGCCACCAATTCTGTGCATGCCAGACATTAGTTGAGCCTCCATGAAAAATACTTTCTGTGCATATAAACAATTTCTGGACTCATATGTAAAGAGTACTTCCAGTGTACTCGCCCTTTTCTTTGGCTTCAGTCCTCCTGTCCGACTGTTCGGCAGTAAATGACAATTTCCGATTCGCATAACTCTACATTTTGAATATGGACAAAAGTTAACAATAAGAAAATTTAATTTCTTCTGAACGAGCAGAGGTGTAATAAAACGCGAAGTTGATTTTGTTGAACAGGTATAGTAGTTAATATATACGTACTTAACCTCTGTCCGTATAGGTTGTTAAACCTTTTTAAGAAGGCATAGAAACAAAATATCATTAACGTTTAAAGGTGTATTCACATAACGTTGTTTTTTAAATGAATGGATTATTGACCGATTTCTTCTCGATTTCTTTTGCATACTCAATAAAAAATAATAAATAACCTCGCGTAATAGTATTATGGCCAGGAGTACCGAAGTTTTTTTTTACATAGAACTTCAATTCAATTCAATGTTGCGTTTCACAGATAGCTGTTGGGCACGATTACCAGGATCATTCGCCCATACATAGAACTTCTGCGTTTTCAATGTTTTCAATGTCAGTCAGTTGTTGCCAGACAAATTCGTCGTAAATTGTCAAACATATTGTTCAAAATTGAGTTTTCCTGTGTCGTGGTCTCCCCACTTTCGATCAAAATTACCAAGTGTCGCGGTCTACCTACCTTAAAAACCCAAAATGGACAAAAATACCTTTTTAACGACGCACAGGGATAGCCACAAATGGCCGTACCCGAAGCCATTGGTTCCAGTGTAAGTACTTTCGGCATAGATCTCGTAACTAATTCCTGGAATTTCGAGAGGGACGTGGTGGTAGCATGAACCAGATAGCTAGAATCAGCTGAGTATGTATAAAAAAGTGTTTTAGAATACTTTGATGTAGACTTGTCTGTTGCTTGCTCAGCATACTAAAATTAGAAGAACCCAACCTTGTAATTTGTACTAAATTTTTTAATATTCCCAGTTGATAGAGTAGATAGAACATTCTCAGCTGTAATTTATGCCAAGTATTTTGAACCTGTTTTTAATTTTCCAAAACACCTTCACCAAAACAAGGAGAACTAGAAAGTCTTCTATGGACCAGAGAAAAAATTAATAGATAGGTAGATATGGCTAAGGAATAGGAAATACTTAGTTAAATTAAATTAGATAAATTGTTATTTTCATTTAATTTTAATTTAATATAAGTAATGTTTTGAAGATAAAAGCGATTTTTATTGTTTTTTACCCTTATAGTTTCATTAATTAGACAAATACAATTTTACCAACTTCACCGTTATAAAACTTGTGAGCTGTACGAACAGACTTGCCAAAAGTATAGGTTGTCCTCATTAGTGAGACTTTTATTTCATAATTCTCGACATTTCAACTGAAAAATAGGTGAAACTGGAAATGTCTCGTGTATTTAAGTGCTTAGGATTTTTGCCTACAGTCACCTTTTCAAAATATTTTATCCTTGTCTAAACTGGACGGCGCTATCTGGAATTGTAAAACTGTCCATTAAATTCAAAATAATTTTGGTTTAAAGATACTATTAAGCAATCTAATAAATCTTGTTTCACCAATGGGTTAACCTGTTTCCGAGTTAAGGTGAAATCTATTAAATCTATCACATCCATAGGTGGAATTCTGGGAAATAAGTTTTGTACATCGTATGTGTTGCATTAGAAGGGATTTTGATATCTTTAATTTTGTTGATTAATTCAAAAGATTTTTTTATTGCAAATTTTGGTTTAAAATCTGTGTGGAACTTTAAAATATTTACCAATTTTGTTGAGAGTTTAACTGCTGGAGCTGTTACATAATACACAACTGGTCTAATGGGCATATCGTGTTTACGTAATTTGACTAAAGAATATAATTTCGGCGGTTGTGGGTTCATAATTGTTAAAAATTATTTGTCTTTGTCATTAAATAGTGTGGAGTTAGTAATTATGTCCTTGACTTGGTAGGACAGCGTTTGATACATTGGTAAAATTCTGCTTTAAGAAAATGGTTGGTTTTTGGATATACTCCTTTCAGACCAGCTGAGCCTCCAATAAAAACGAAACCGAGTAATTTCTACGTGGCCAAACTGATCGAACCGTACTGCCATTGCGACTACCACCTGTACGAACCGGAAATGGGCAGATATAAAAAACTGGCCGAAAAAGAAACCAAACTGAACGAAGAACTGGCAAAGCTGAAGCAAAGAGTTCGCAATCCTTCTTACGCTTTGTTTCTTGATGCGAGAGAGCTCTGTAAACTGTGGCCTTTGTGGTATTGCGGTACTGTATCTATGACGATTGTCAATGGTCTCGAGAGTGACAGGCAGATCGACAGCACCTGTGCTTAAATGTGAATTGGAACGAATTACCAAAACAACCAAAACTGTGGACATCAGCGTGTTTGTTAAGTTAATCTTAATTTTTATGGTGTTGCAATATTTCTTCACGGGATTGCATCAGAGGGAGTTTAAAAATGAACCAAATCAGGCTCTTTTGCTGAATAAACACCGTTTCCTCAAAGAAAATATAGTAATATCGCTAGGGAGACGTCAATATAAGAACCAAGACACCTTGTGGTCTGATTTAAGTCTAATCCCAATCCAATAGAACTGAATGACTAACATGGTAAAAGTTTGCCTAGCAAACTCAACCCCACTGTCTTCTCCAAGTTTACAGTCGAGTGGTTCTGCTTACGAAATCCTATATGATTAAAAGACCCCCAATTACGGTCTCTCAGATATCGAGATTGTCGTAAAACTTCAGGAACTTCTGGATTCCTCCTGCGTCGGTTTTTGCTGAGTCGAACTTGCTGACGTTCCGCCAATCATCCTGTTGGCTTCTTCAGAGCTTGACTGAAACTTTTTCGTATTTTACTCTGCACCTTGTTATATATTGTTTGAGGGAGGCGGAGCTAAATGAGGGGCATAAACACCGTCTCGGATGACTGACTTCCATATTGGTGACAGTTAGAGACCTGAGTCGCGGTTAAGATTGTTAGGTTGTTCATAGATTTCTATAGACTCTCGGATTTGGTAGAAGAACTGATTACATGCAGAACAGCTGATGAGTTTATTTGTCTTGGTCGTAAGGCTCTTTCGTGTTCTTCGAGTCTAGTTGATATTTTTCGTCCGTTCTCTTCAATGTATTCTTTGCTTCATACGCATGGAATGCTGTAAACTCCTGGCATCTCAAATGGAATTTTGTCTTTGACGGACCGAAGATGTTGAGAGATTTTTGGACAAGTGGTAAATCTGGTTTTGACGTTATACTTCTCTCGATAATTTTTGGCCCGGATGGTGATGTGGCCATGTGTTCAGGTATCAGTCTGTGTGCGTAGGTTTTCTGTGAACACAATGTCAGGTCTATTACATACAAATTTTAATATTTACCGAAGTATTTACGTAACTTTGAAGTTCGACGAGATCTGAAGGACACTTTATACAGGGTGTATTCACAATACAATGACATCGATTTTGCGAAAGTTCCATAGTGGTCCGCATGAGCACGATAGAAAAACAATGCGCCCCTCTAGGACAAGAGTAAGCGAAGCGCCTTCTTTTTGAAAATACAAAGCTGATTTGCGCTACTTGCGGCGATCTTGTTTGAAACGGAGAATATAACAGAAACGTGGTACGCCGTAAAACCATCGATTACACCATTGGACGACTTATTTAACATGTATTTATTTATATAATTACTATTATACAGTACGCAATACGACAGAGACCGTCTCTTTCGCATTAAGCAACCAGGCGTAGTACGCTCTTAGTACCGCGTTCGTGTCTAGATGGCGGTGCTGGTGAGCGATATTCTAGAACATCCTTGCGACAGTTTGGACGAAAAGATGAAAACCATCTACCAGACCGATTACGCTAAAAGAGGCCTCCACGTCGCTCAGTACAGAAAACTGATGCCAGCAATAGAATCTCCAGTGGGTATTCCAGTGAAGAGCGAGACCATCGGCCTGGGTATGGGCTACAGGGATCCCACTAGATTCAGGCACACCCAAATTCCGACCGCGCTAGTGGATGTTTGTCCAAAAAGCACCTACTCCAGAAGTAGTCTGGTCTACAAACCTTCACTGGTCCACGATTACAGTTTTGCGTGTTTTAGCTCCTACCTTGAGCGATCGGTGGTTCTTTCAACGAACCGGCACCACAGAATACAACGATTCGTACAGTAAAGCGGGGTTGGATATCCTCAGAAGCAGTCAACAGTACGCAGAACCCTTACCGTCGTCTAGAAGGGCCATTAGCTCATGTCCTTGAGCTGTATTCTGTATAGAGTATATGAAGCATATTTTTGTAATACTTCTGTTTTAGTCACCACTCATATTAAACCAGATTGATAGTTTCTGCAATTTTTTTTTTACTGTAATTTGTAAATATGTGCGAGTCTAGTGTATCTCGGGAGATGCTCCCGCCCAAATGTAGAAAATACTATTTTATTGAGACTAAGGAAGTTACAAACAATGTTTATTTGACTTTCATTGAACGTGGTGCCAGCAAGCAAGCATATTTAGAAGAAACGGCCACACTGACGAAAATTCCAACATCAACGGTATGGAAAATTGTGAATAATCCCATTTCAGCGAGGAAAAAAAGAACCGATGCTGACATTTTCTCGAGTGTAGATGAAAGTGATCAAGATATAATATGGCGTAAAATTTATCAGTTATACGAGGAACAAAGCGTGCCTACATTAGATATCTTAATTAGGGGGTTTGAAAAAGATGAAACCGGTGTTAAATGTGGCGGAACTACCTTATGGAAGTGTATTCAACACATGGGTTTTAAATTTAAAAAAATTGACAAAAGGCAAGTCTTAATGGAATCTTTTAGAACTCGTAAATGGCGAATATCTAGAAAAAATTAGGATTTACAGAGAACAACAAAGGCCAATAATTTACTTGGATGAAACCTGGTATGATACCACGGAAAATTAATTATCAACTGATAAGTGTAAAACAAACGCGCCATCAAAAAGAGGTAAAAGAATAACTAATTTGCATGCTGGCTCTAAAGAATCTGATAGATTTAAGTTTGCGATCCATAGATGATGTAGGACCTTTGATGTTGGAACCTCTTGAAATAACTAATTTTTCCGTTTCTGAAAGTTGGCGCGATGATACATTTATTACAGTGTTTTTGGTAGTTGACAAGAGTTTGACGGTTTTCCTAGTGTTGACTTTAGTTTTTCAAATTTCTGAACGTGATTTTGGGTAGAAGATAAACACACACACACTTACCACTTACATTCAAACATCACTGACCACATATCAAAAGTTCTAATGAACGTCAAAACCAGTTTTACCACTTGTCCAAAAACCTCTCAATATCTTCGGTCCCTCAAAGGCAAAATTCCATTTGAGATGCCAAGAGTTTACAGCATTCCATGCATACGCGGCAATGAATGCATTGGAGAGACCGGACCAAAAAAACACGAAATAGCCTTACTGCTAAGATAAATACACTCGTCAGTTGTTGCTGAACATACTCATAAAACCGGACATAAAATTTTTATTCGACAAAACTAAAATTCTTGCATATAATCAGTTCTTATATACAATCTTAACCGCGACTCGGGTCTCGACCTGTCACCCATATGGGAATCAGTCATCCGAGACGGTGTTTACGCCCGTCGTTTAGCTCCGCCTCCCTCAAACAATATAAAAGCATGTACAGAGTAAAATACGAGCCAGTTTCAGTCAAGTCCTGAAGAGGCCAACAGTCAGCAAGTTCTACACAAAAAAAACCGACGCAAGCGGAATCCAGAAGTTTTGTAACAAGTATCAAATAGAAATCAATAAAAATAGCTGCAATTTTTTTTACGGAAAACGTCTTTTTGCAACTTGAAACGTTGAGCGTTAGTCGACAAAATTATAGGTTAAGATAATTTTGATATTCGTATTTAAAAAAATATATCATAGATGGCGACATGGTCGAAAGATGGAATTTCACAGGTAATTGTTGCCGTTCATTAGCAACGTTCCTTTTTTCGAAGCTCTCAGAGTCTTTCTTCTTCTTTTTATCTTCTTCGTTAAATTTAAGGCCCGTGGAAAACGTAGAAAATAAGGGTTTATTTTGGACTTGGAACATGCCGTTATAGTTTCAATATTAAATGAGAACGTGTCTGACTACTGAAAGAGATACACGATAGTGGGAATTTTTGTGTTAATCATCCGGTCCCACTTAAAAATAACGCTGTTGTGCGGCCATATTTCTGCTCCGTTGAATTCCGTCGGGCTATGAGTCCGATGCTTAAAATAAGTCGAAACGTCTCTCTTTTATATTTAATTCAATAATATCACAATCTTTTGGTAAAAACGTCATTTTTTCCGTATTTTTACGGACGACGCCTCGGGTCGTGGATCCTGTCCCTGATTATGAGATATCCGAGTCTCGATATGGCGTCTTGGTACTCTGTGGCACCGACCGTCACTGAAGATAGACCGCCTTTCGTAGTTCCCGCTGTAATGATTTTAATAGTTAACAGAACCACATTAATATCCCATAAATACGTTTAAAAGTTCAATTCTTAACTAGGTATAGTGTGATTCGAAGTATACCGTCTCGACTTTTTGAAATAACTCATCGTTTATAAGTATTTAAAAAATAAAAATAAAAACCCAGGAACCGTTAGTCCTACCACTATTTTATAGTATTTATAACTAAATTCGCAAAGAGAAAGAGGTGGAAACTATTTTCAAGTTCATGAAATGGCCACCAGGGGGCGCGACCTCTACTGCAAAATAGAAACAAACGGGTTTTCTCAGAAATATTTTAAACTAACCTATATCAAAATTAGTTTTAACGTAATCTACTATATATATAAGGAAACTCTTTCGTTTGAACAATTTTTTTCCATCTCGTCAAATGAAGGGTGGGGGAAGGGTCAAATATTGATTTAGAAAAAGTTGAATAACTTTTTTTTTGACAATCCGATTTCGACGAACTGTGTTTAATTTTGAGAATATTTATAGAAGCTTCCTCTGGCATGTCAATATCACGATATTGATCCTTTTACGAGTTGGTAGGAGGCGCTTCATGTGAAAAACGGCTATTTTTAAGATTTTTTCGAAAATTTTAAATATAATGGTATAAATATTTTTAGCTTTGACGAAAGAGCTTAAAAAAACACATAAAGTAGTGGACGCTGCCTGACAATATCTTTTTCGCCTTTGGGATGCAAACAAAGATGTGTTTATTAAACATACAGCCGAAACTCTATATAGTGACTTTTTTTTTCGTTATAAACAATTGTCGTTATAAAGAGTTAAATATTAAAATATCTATTTAGGAACATTTTATATAAATATTTAATGTTTCAAATAATCGGTCATTTTCTTTTGAATTCTTTTAGTATGCCAATACGGATCTTGTACTTTGGCATGTATTTTCACCATTTCCTCGAGAGGGGCATCTTCCCAATAATACATACAAAATTTCTCTGGCAGCTTAACTGAATATAGGGCTTGTTGAATGATGGTGCCCAGATCAACTTCTTCATCTTCTTCTTCCTCTTGGTACTCTTCCTCACCCTTTCTTGCTTGTTCTAATATGGCCTCCTCCGACAAGTCTGCTGTTGTAGGCAAATTCTGATCTATCACCATAAAATCTTGCAACTCCTCACTTGTAAACGTAATTGTTGTTTGAAACTGCTTTATCCACTCACTTAGTGGCTGATCATCTTCCAAGTCCTGTTCGCATTCTGTTGAATTGTTTCTGCTCTCACCTCTTTCCAAGCTTTACTAATAAAGTTGACTGCATCTAACATATTTATGGAAAATTTGTCTTCGGACTCGATCATTTCCATTAAAATGTTTTTCCTATATCGACTTTTAAGACTTTTTGATTACGCCCTGGCCCATCGGCTGTAATACACTTGTTGTTTTGGTTAGTTGGAAGAAATGCCAATTCAATATTCCGTAGATTTGCAATATGGGGATGTGCAGGGCAGTTATCTGAGAGAAGTAATATTTTTCTCCCTTTAATTCTGCATCCCATTTTGTTTGCCTTGTAAGTGACCGGCAAATGCTTGATGTTCTTAAAACATCGTGGGTCAGTTGATTTACTAATCACGACCAGCTCCCCACTCATATTGGCAGCGACTAACACTGTTTTTAGAAAGTTTTACACCCACACACTTTTCGCTTCGAAATTTAAATTTAAATTATGTTTTATATATAAAATAAAATAAAAGTATGGTGGGTCAATAATACAGTCTGTAGTCACACAAATCAAAATCGGATATTAGAGTAAAAGGCATCTTGAAGGAAGGTTATAGCTCATGATTATAACAGTTTGTCCCAAGAGAATCTTATGGAAGCATCCATTTCAAAACAAATCCGGTAAATAGCGACTGGAATATTTAGGAAAAAATGGGATTTACAGAGAACAACAAAGGTCAATTACTTACTTGGATGAAACCTGGTTTGACACTTATAATACCCCGGAAAAGGGTTGGGTTAACTCAACTGATAAGTGTAAAACAAACGCGCCATCAAAAAGAGGTAAAAGAATAACTATTTTGCATGCTGGATCTAAAGATGGTTGGATTCCAAATGGACTTTCTCTGTCTGCGAAAAATATTAAAGATTCTGCTCTGGATTACGATGAAGACACCGCCGCTGATTTATTTGAAAGTTGGTTTAAAAACAAACTAGTTCCAAACATTCCTCCTAATAGCGTCATTATAATGGACAATGTAAGTTATCACAGTAGACAGTTGACCAATGTTGTTCCTCATGTGACAAAAAAGCAACAATCCAAAACTACATGTGTAATAACGGCATTTATTTTCACGGAGATTATATCAAAAATCAATTAATTGAGGTTCTACAAAGCTTGAACCTACAAAAGGAATACGTCTGTGATAATTATGCAAAAAATCTAGGGCGTACAGTTTTAAGGCTTCCACCACCACTGTATATTTAATCTCATTGAACATGTTTGGCACCAACTGAAATCTGCCATTCGTCGTAACAATGTTTTTCGCCGTGTTGACTCCAATGTCCTCAAACTTATAGAAACCGAAGTTTTTAACGTTCCTCCACAAAGTTGGGCAAATTCTGTTAAACATGTAGAAAAGGCAGAACAATCGTATATCCATATTGCAAATAATATAGAACAAATAATAATTAGAACAGGCGATGATAGCGATAGTGATACTGATAGATTATGTGAATAATTTTAAGTAATTTAAGTAGGTGATAATAATAATTTGTAATTTTATTTTAGATTTAAACATAAATACATAAATAAATAAATAAATAAATATAGTATCTTTCCTAACAAAACCCCAAATAATTAAACTCTAAGCAAAATACGGACCTGTTCGGCCATATTTCATTCTTACAGCTTGGCCGGGTCTTTCCTTAATTCGTATCAGTTAGTCACTTTCTTATATCTAAGAACAGACTTTACCGTAATATTCAGCTTCTTTGGATTTATATGACGTTCTGCAAGGCTTGGCGCTGCTGATACGAGCCTTGCGGTGAATTTTGCAGTCGTCAGCTGGCAGTCTCACTGGTTCGGGACATGGTGGTAGACCATCGAATCCGGCTGAACGGACGAGTTGGTCGTACGGTGCTGACTCTCCTAAGAACCAAAATAACTCATTCATGAACGGTCCCATTGATCTGCCGTACCGAGTTTGCTGTAGTCCACTTGGTAAGTAGTTCGTAAGCGATCCCTGTGAACTCTAGCCAGGATGTCGTCGGGTGGGGCCGTCCTTAGACATTCGTAGATAAAGGGATACTTTTCTTGAAGCTAAGCCCGGGAAATATGGGCACAAGGCCCAGTTAACCGTTACCTGACAATTTGCTCGCAGATGGTAGATAATTGTTCAGAACTAAGGGATAGTCGAACTTCCAATGTGTGTGTGTGTGTGGGTGTTTTTTTTTTCTTCAAAGAAAGTTCTATTGTGTTACTAAACTTGCGTGCATGATGGAAATCGGCCCATTGTGAACTTTAGACTTCGCTTTCATTTTTTTTAAATACTACTGATCAAATATAAAAATATATGCTGTTTGAAAGACAACTTATTTCCGCTTTTTAGGTTTACCATAGTAAAAAAACTGTCAAATTAACTGTTTTTTATTACTAAAAACAAATAGGATTATTGACAATTAGCAACCCAACGCTTATATCTTAATAACGGGTATGACGCCCTCTTGCCTTAATAACATCTCTTACTCAAGTTCGCTATTGTTTCTTGTGGAATGTTAAGCCACTCTTCCTCTACTGCAGCAATCAGCTCTGGAATCGAGGTTGGAGTACGAGGCTAGTTCGAATTCTCCGTTTTAGCTCATCCCATAAATGGTCGAACAGATTCCGGTCGGGTCTGCATGCTGGCCACTCCAAAATCTCACTTCTGTAATGTAATTTTGGACGATGCTTGCTTTTCGAAAGTATCTGCTTTCGTATAAAAAATTATAACTCGGTAACGGTGATTCCTACGGGATCGCCGTGGAAAAAAAGTTTTTTTTTGTCTGTTTGTCCGTTCTCCCTTCTCGTCTTTTGGTTTTTCCTGAATAACCTTCGAACCGTGTGAGCTACAAAATTAAAATCTGACTCCTTTTTAACCCTCCACGAGGCACATAAGCTTATAAGAAATGGCCCCGATCCGACGCCGGCATCCATCTTTTTTTCGACTGTTTTTTGGACAGTGCTATGAAACACGATAAGTGTGCGAAATTTGAAGCAATTTACTTCAAATCCAAAACCGTAAAAAATATGGCTAGTTGGTTCAAACGGCGTCATAGCTACAATTTTTGTTTTTGCGGTTTTCGTCTATCACATACTCGGGATGTTTGAAAAATCCATATTGAAATTTTCTCGAAAACCATTTGCTATTTTCAAAAAATTCTTGAACCAGGAAACGTGGAAAATCCAAGGCTCTAACCTCTGCTTCGAAGAATGATTGAATCATATACAGGGTGTCTAGTTTATGGGCAAAAAATCTAAAATATCCTAAAAATTTCCGTTTTTGTGAGTAAATTATTGGCGATATATGGAAAACCGTTACAGATGGGGTAATTTCATTTGAACAGTATCGTAAACCGTGTCGTGAGAGAGTTTCAGGTTTCGTCAATTATACGGGGCGCAAAATATCATTCGCCAACGATATTATTTGTGGAAATTTTAATATTTACCGATGTATGCTGTAACTTTGAAGTTCGACGAGATGTGAAGGACATTTTATACAGGGTGCATGCACAATTAAATGACATCGATTTTGCGAAAGTTCCATAGTGATCCGCAGAAGCAAGATATCAAAACAATGGGTGACGATTTTTCAAAAGCAATCTTGTTAAACCTCCTGCTCCTTGGTAACGGTCGCCCTTACGGATGAAAACAGGGTCGGTTCGTGCGCACATTCTGGTTTGATCTGAGAACAGAACTGACCCCCATTGGTCCAATGTCCAATTCAGATGATCCCCTGCAAAGCGTTGGCCTGCTTGTCGATGAGCTGGAGTACGTTTTGGACCAATCGCAGTTGTTTTTGGGATCAAGTTATTCTCCTTCAGTCTTCTTCTCACTGTCCACTGACTAATAGCGACTCTGGAGCTGTTATTGCTCTTGCTTACCCATATAAAAAATTCAGCACTCTTGAAAAATTTAAACTCATATTAAAGCATGTTAAATTGTCTTTCAAACGGAATGTTTGTTTTTTGGGTCAGATGAATAGATGAATGGTTCGTGGAATTTAAAATTAGTGTACACTCGATGACGGGCAGCTTTACGAAAGGAAGTTCGACAATCTCTCCATAACCGCGTACTTTTTGCAAAAACACGTTCGGTTGGTTGAAGCGGCCCATCGTGGGTGTTGGTGCATCCGGAGCCTTGACGAGTTCCGCTTTTGGACCAAGTAGATGACCAGAGGTGTCGACTTGGTATGCCGGACGAGCTACTCCAGATTTATCTAAGCAGCGGCAAGGTTCACGGAGGCATTCGAGGTGAGGCCTATGAAATTCGCTTAGCTATAGTAGTTAAAGGGAAGCCCGACAACATTACCATACTGTGGTCACACTTGATTTGTCAAAAAAATCTACACAGGCTACTGCAATACTATTTACAAATCTTCTGGTTTTCTTTTGCAAAAACAATAAGGGTGGTCTCATTTAAATATATATATATATATATATATATATATATATATATATATATATATATATATATATATATATATATATATATATATATATATATATATATATATATATATATATATATATATATATATATTAAATGAGACCACAAAAAATTTTATTTTTCAGGAACAAATAAGACCCTTGCAGACTCCAAAAAGGTTTCAAGCTGAAGGAACTAAGCCAAAAGTAGGTCCAATGCCCTTCGGAAACTAAAATAGTCAAGGTTAGAATCCAAGGAATAGTTTAAAGCGAAATGGATATCAGAAAAGGCTAGTTTCGAACTATTCTAATGAAGGCCTTGATAGTAAGTGATGGTGATGTGGTGATGGAGGCACTGGAACAACTTTTTTTTAGATGAGAAGTATGGGCTGCCAAAAAGAACTTATCCAAAAGTAAGTCCGAGGCCTTTATTAAATCAAAAGAGTCAACAAATGAAAATGCAAGTGTGCAAAGTATGGATAAGGTGCACTGGCACAAAGAACTATTCCAAAATTCAAAGAATAATTTCGTATACTGGCAAAAAAAACAGAGATTAGACAGAGTCTAAAGAAGAATTTTAATGGAAAAAGAAATAAGAAATAATGAAGACCCTGACGCTGAAACTGGAGTAGTAATGATGATATGAATGAAGATGAAGACAACTATTGTCTATATTGCAACATTTTCATATGAGAAGCATGGACTGCCAAAAAGAACTAATTCAAAAAGTAGTTCCAAGACAATTATTAAATCAAAAGCGTTAAGAAATAAAAACACAGGTTAGGCAGAATTCGGAGAATAATCTTAATAGCTCTTCTAATGAAGATCTTGATACCAAAATTGAAGGGCAATTAATACATAGTGACGGTGATATGTGACAGTGAGTGTCTTTTTGTTTTTTAATTTTTATATGTCATTTAATAAATTTTAATAAATATTTACAGTAAATTCCCGAACGCGATTTTAGGTTTACTTAGTGTAGATTGAGAATCGAAAATTTAAGAGTCCAGTGTTTTTTATTTTGAAATTCTTGAACAACAGGGCTAACTATACGAGTTCAAATTGTAGAAGAAAACATGCTATATAAAGGATTGGGAACACGTAGAAGGTCAACGTAGAAATGAAGTATTTTGTGTTAAATAAAACCCAAACTTGCGTGCATAGAAATCGATCCACTGTAAATTTTTGGCTTTAGTTTTTTTTTTCTGTAGAAATTATTCATCTGACCCAAAAAATATACATGGCATCTGGAAGACAATTTAATACGCTTTAGTATGAGTTTAAATTGGGGTGGGAGAAGAATTCATTTTTATGCATGACAATGCCAGGCCGCACACCCCAAGGATCGTGCAAGATTGCATTACAGAAGTCGGTTTTCGAGTTACGGAATGGCCAGCATGCAGTCCCGATCTAAATCCGAGCGAAATATTTTAAACTCGTATAACGTAAAAGTCTATATTACGAAAAAAATTTGTTGTATTGTTGTATGGTTAGGTTAGTTGTTAGCTATGTATTAATCCACTCTGTATAACGAATTTGCCACTCTCTATACCGATAGAATCATAAAGTTGCTTTAATTCGGGAGATAGAACTGGGAGAAAAGAATACGGACTTACACCGTCGACTGTATCCACGATTTGGAAGTGCAAAGAAAAAATCATTCAGGTTGAAGCGGCAGGCAGTTCTAGTAAAAACCTAAGAAAGCCCAAATTTGAAAAATTTGGATCGGGCAATGTTGCATTGGTTCCAACAGCAACGTCTTAAAAAAGTACCACTCTCTGGACCTATCGTAAACCTAAAAGCAGAAAAGTTTGCTGAACAGCTTGGCGGTATCGATTTCAAGGCTTCGGAAGGATGGTTGGGGAAGTTCAAACAGAGACATGGTATAAATTATGGACAGATAAGGGGCGAAGCCCGTGATGTCGACAGAAACGTCACTAATGATTGGCTGGAGAAGACGTGGCCAAAACTAGCAGAAACTAGTATTTTTTACAAAACGACGTCAGATTAAAAATCCTAAATTTCAGTCTGTGGGTGGAAAACTTTCTAAAGAACGTATAACTGTGTTAGTAGCTGCCAATATGAGTGGGAAAGAAGAAAGAAAGCTAGTCGTGATTGGAAAACCAATTAACCCACGATGTTTTAAGAACATCAAGCATTTGCCTGTCACTTACAAGGCCAACGAAATGGGATGCAGAATTAAAAGGGGGGAAGATATTGCTTCTCTTAGATAACTGGGTGAGGAAGAGCACCAAGAAGAAGAAGAAGAGGAAGAAGTTGATCTGAGACCGCCACCAACCATTCAACAAGCCCTATATTCAGTTAAGCTGCTAGAGAAATTGTTTATGCGTCATGGGGAAGATGCCCCTCTCGAAGAAATGGTGAAAATACAAGCCAAATTACGAGATGCGTATTGACATACTAAAAAAATTCAAAAGAAAATAACCGTTTATTTGAAACATTAAATGTAGTTCTTAAATATTTATATAAAAGTAGATGTTAAAATATGTATGTAAAATAATTAAATATGCGTATTGTTATTTTTCAAGTGCCTATAATACTTTATAACGAAAAAAAAAAAGCATATAGAGTTTCGACAGTATATAAAATTGTATTTCAAACACCACATTTTTTTTATCTGATCAGTAGTTTCCCAAAAGTTCCCAATGGGACGTTTTCTATGCACGCAATGATATTTTAGGCTACTGAAAATACGACTTTACACGTAGTACCTGATCCCCAAGCTTCTCACGTACGGCCACAAGTAGTCTTTTCTATAAGTCGTCACGAATTGATCCATAACCATCTCGGATACAACGTATGCCACTTTTTTTACGAAGGATTTAACGCGATTGTAAAACCGACTGTCGGACTGACATCCCGAAGCCGCATTTTTGACATTTTCTTTGCCATTCGGTCATGAATCGAAACGAATTCCGCAAATGGAATACGTCAGTATTTTTCTGAGATTATTTCAAAATTTCCTGTTGTACTTGATCGTCCGCCTTGTTTTCTTAATAATCAAGCGATGCGACAGGCTGCCATTGGCGTGCCCGAACTTTTTTAGAAGAAAGTGTACATCGAAAAGTTCGTAGATGATTGGCGTAGAAATTTTCGTGTAAAGGATCTTTGCCGAGTGACAAATAACCTGACCTGTGAAGCTTCTAAACAATTCCCCATGTTGACCGGTAATTTTATACGGTTAAATTTCCCCGCGTTACGGAAAAACAAACTCGACAGGGTGAGCGGATGTAATTCCTATTTTTTGCAAGGATACAGCCATTAATCGTTTCAGATGCAGATGCGAACAAGCGAGACCTATACTTTTCGTGTGACAATGTTTTTGTAATTCATTTTTTCATTAAAACGGACGCTATAACTTTGACTGGCTTAATAGATTTTTTTTCCTTATTTGTCCATTTCACGTGACATACAGATAGTTTCGTAAAAAAAATACGGCTCGAAAGATTGGAATGTCGGTATTTTTAATACTCTCGCCGTTTTGGCATATTTGTCTTCTTATGACATAAAAGTATATAGAACTTTCTCATCTCATTTACCAAAGACACACTGTATAAATTAATAATGTATGTACAGGTATGCATAGGGAATTTTAATGGAAAAAAAAACTTAAAATTGCACATGTTTGGAATTTTAAGGATATAGTGGTTTCTGGTGATTGTGACGTTGTTGGGGTGAGTGAAACATGGTTAAATAGCTGAGTTGAAAGTGGGATAATTAGAATCGAAGGGTTCAGTTTTGTGATAGAGATAGAATGGGAAGGGGTGTTGTTATCTATGTTAGATCGATTTTAAAATTTAATACAATATCGTTAGATACAATTATTGAATAAGCCTGGGTCAAATTTCCAATTAATGATAAAAACATAGCATATAGACCTCCCTCTTACCCATATTTAGATTTTGTTAAATATTTTGAAAATACTTATTTATTATAATTATCGTATGGTAATAACACAGTCTAGTTTTAAATGTTAATGTTTACAAAGGTTAAATCTTAATATCTAGGTTTTCAATCCAAACAACAGCCGATGGAGTGGCCCTCAAGAAGTCTGTTGTCGTACACTGGCTCTGTCTTTTTTCGCAATCGTATGCTAGGTGGCGGATGGTTTGTCGCCTTCCACAGTCGCAGCAGTTGGTTTCTGATTTGCCCCATTTGTGCAGAGAGTCCGCACAAACACCGCATTCTGTACGGATCCGATTTAGGGAGCACCAGGTTCCTCTCGGTAGTGTAGAACCTGGAACAGTTTGGTTAACGTGGAAAACGCTGCGGTTATCTGGAGGAACGCTATTTTGCCACCTCTGAGCCCATTCGTTTTGTAGGTGGAAGTTATTGGATATAAGCGCTGCCGCTGTTTGAATTGGAGGTTTTCTGGAGCGGAGCCTGTGCCCTAGTTGAGCGATATCTTCATGGATTTGGAGTTGGGGATTGTTTTGTATTTTTCTAAATTCTCTGCAGAGAGCTTCCGATCGCCGGAGATGAGCTGGTGGAATGTTGCAGAGCGCGGGGAGCTAATACGTGGGTGTGGATTTGATGGTTGCACTGATCATTCTAAGTGAGTTGTGGATTTGGACGTCAACTAGTTTTGAGTGGGGGCTATTCGTCCAGACAGGAGCGCAGTATTCGGCCGAGGAGTAAACAAGGAAAAGAACTGAACATCGGAGTGTTTCGGCTGAGGCACCCCAGCTGGTGTCTTAAGTTTGGCGGCTACGTTGCTTAAATGTTTTTTAAAGGAGAGTGTACGGTCTAAGGTGACGCCCAGGTATTTCGGGTGCTTGTTATGTTTTAGTCGGGTTCCGTTAAATTCGACGTTCAGTTCTGTGTTCGCCAACTTGTTGTTAAGGTGGAAGCAAGAAGTCTCAGTTTTGGTCACACTCGGTTTCAATCTCCATTTCGCAAAGAAACCATTCATGGCCATCAGATCTTCGCACAGTACATCTTCTGCAACGTGGAGGTTTTTATGTCTGAAGTCAAGAGCCATGTCGTCGGCATAGTTAAATTTTTTAGAGCGAGTTTCAGGTAGGTCTGACACATAAAGGTTGAAAATGCTTTAACCACATTAATCACAGAATTTGAGGCAGTCTACTGCGTAGGACATTTTAACATCAATTATAATTTTATCGATAATGGACGGATTGTAGCCGTTGTTCAGTGGAGTTTGTTTAATGATATTAAGTTCTTTACAATTTTCTCAAACTCTTGACTGGAACCTTCGGCACTGTATTAAAAGAGTGAAATGCAGCCATTTTGTGTGTATAAGGGTGACTGTGTCCGTGTGTTTATAGAAAAATCTAAAATCTACTTTGTTTTGTGTTCGTAATATTAAGTCTAAAAAATTAATTAGATTTAAATACCTTTCCTTAATTGAATCTAAATTCTCACAATAACATTAATTAAGGTTTCGTATATATATATATATAGTATACAGTGGCTGTCGTATCACATTTTGACAAAGCAGTTGGTTTTGAATATGGGATCTAAAGGCAGGTTGATGCAAACATTTTAAGCACTAAAAATGATTACCCATTTTTTTAAGAGTTGGGTGTTTTTTCCTTGCGGATATCATTTGGTTCAGTTCATTTGCAAAAAATGTATATTATATTATATAGTATATCAAGGGGATCCATTTTAAAAAGAAAACTTCACATGAACATATGTAAAAAACGTCTTAACTTTTGAGGGTGGTAAAACTTTCAATAATAAAAGATGTATTTTTAATATGTGTTACTGAAATTTGGCATACAGGTACTATGTATCAGGAGGCATTATTTAGTGAACCACAATACCAAAATATATTGAATAACTGAGCACATGTATGTATTACGGATATTGAAAATATATTATTTTCTTAAAATTTAGGGCGTTTAGGACACATGAGGTCTTTCTTTTTAAAATCGACTCAAAAACTGCCCCATTAATTATTGACATTCGATTAGAAAACACCCTGTATACATTAGTTTTTGCATTGCCTTGTATAAAACTTAAGGCCGTCTGGGAAGCGAATTGCTTATAAATAATCTGTGAATTTATGGTGGCAAGCGTGTAGTCATTTAATAAGAAATTCTTTATAGGTATTCCAATTGCGATTCCGTTTCAGCAGGTCGTACAGTTAGGCCGAAAAACAATAAACAGACTTAATTGAGTTTATACGATTTACCGGATAAAACTAAAAGATGTAAACAAGTCTGGGAGATGATTCGCCGATTTCGACAAGTCGATTATTTCTGATCCGGGTCTAATGGGTATGGTCTGTTCATAGATATAAGAAAGTGACTAATTGCTTTTGAATGGGGTCATCAAAGGGTAGTCATTAACATACAATATTATTACCTAAAGTTTCGGAATTTAAATTCAGGTAAAATTGTGGTCCGTAATAGAAAATAATTTTATACCTACCTGTGTTCAATATTCTTTGGTCCTCTGGATCAGTACTGCACTGTGTTTCATACGGAAATTTTCGCTTTATTGATGGCGGCCAGAGAGGTGCTTCGGCTCAACTACGGAAGCAGGAGAGTCTTCTTCTGCTCGGATAGTAGGGCTGCACTCATGGCGCTGAAGTCAGTGCGTACGCGCTCCTTGTTGATAAAGGAGTGCAAAGGGGTACTGAGGAGGGTGGCTGAGGAGAGAAAGGTCACGTTGGTCTGGGTCCCGGGTCACACCGGTATCCGGGGCAATGAGGCAGCGGACGCCTTAGCCAGGGAGGGCTCCTCGCATAGGCATATAGGGCCAGAGCCCCGCTTGGGGATCGCCCCGTGTGTGAGGCGGGGAGCTCTCGAAGCCTGGGCGAGAGATCGGGCCGCGGGGGGCTGGAGAGTTGCTCCGGGAATGAGGCAGGCGAGGCTTATGATGGATGGGCCCGCCCTTCCTCGGACCAGGGAGCTGCTTAGACTGACCAGAAGGGAGTGTAGAGCACTAACAGGGGCCTACACAGGACATTGCAGGCTTAGGAGGCATCTTTGCTTGCTAGGCATTGGAGACGACCCGGAGTGTAGGTGGTGCATGGAAGGGGAGGAGACCCCCGTATCATCTGCTGACCGAGTGCCCTGCCTTGACATGGGCAAGATTGGGAGTCTTCGGAACGGCCCTGATCGATCCGGACTCAGTGCAGGGTATTGGGCTAAAGGAGTTGCTGACCTTCTACAGGAGGGGCGGCATTCTGGACGCCCTCTAGAGCGGCCTGGGGGCACAACGGGCCCATCTGGTGGCCTAAGTGCTTGGACGCCCGCGAGGGCGCCCCCCTTTGATACCAATACCAATACCAATACCAATTCTTTGGTTTGGTAGACTACTTAGTTTAAGTTTATTAGTAATCATTCTTATTTCGTGTGTAATACGGCGTGTGTTGAATCGTGTGCGAATTATGCAAAATATGTGCGAGTCTAGCGTATCTAGGACATTTTATACAGGGTGCATGCACAATTAAATGACATCGATTTTGCGAAAGTTCCATAGTGGTCCGCAGGAGCACGATAGAAAAACAATGCGTCCCTCTAGGACAAGAGTAAGCGAAGCGCCTTTTTTTTAAAATAAAAAGGTGATTCGAGCTATTTGCTACGAACTTGCCCCGCTCACCGACGATTTTTCGAAAGCAATCTTGTTAGTGTAGATAGATAAAAAGATAAATACGGTTAAGGGTCTGCTCGGCAGGTTGTTCTATAAGGGGTTTTGGAGTAATTAACAGTAGGCAGTAGGGGTCAGTTGTAAAAGGTAAGTTGTAAATATTTCTGGTTCAAGTCGTTAAACTTTTATTGGGGAGGGTCCGTCGATAGCCAACACGATCTATATCGAGACAGACTATAATTTAATCGATATTGCAATTTTTCTTTATCGATAGGAAGTTCCCCTATCCCGTGACAAGTTAACGGTAACGTTACAACGGTCCGTATTTTTTTAATAAACAAAGGACCCAACCGCAAAAGCGCCTAATTTATAAATAAGTCGCAACACGCCGATGATCTCACGGTTTAACTTTGCAGTGTCTGAAATTCGTCTAAAACGTGTTAAAATAAAACGAGTTGTTACTGTTCGGGCCTGTTAGTATATAGTCTCGACGACGTGTAGAATTTTCCCCCGGTTCTTTATTAACTCCGATTCAAAGTATAATAAAATAGGCCCGGTACTGGGAAAAGCCATCCTTTCATCATCTGGCGCGCTTTAAATAAACTTCACAGGTTTTTTTCGCACTCTCCGCGGAATCGGGACAGAATCGTTTTGTTC